CAAATTCCGAAAATTTCCGATTTTCCGAAATTTCTGAAAAAATCGGAATCGGAATCAGATCCTTAATTCCGAAAATATCGGAATCGGAATCGGAACCCATATTTCAATTCCGAAAAAAATCGGAAATTTTCCGAAAGGGTCATATCCGATCCGATCCGTCCGATTTCCACCCCTAATTCTGCCAAATTGTCGAGGAAGAAAATATTACATTTTTTTAAATAAAAAAAATGGAGACAAAAATCTTAATGGGAAGCATCTTGGACATATAAGATTACATTAATTATTTGTTGCAAAAAAAATGGAGAGTAAAATCTTAATGGGAAGCATCTTGGACATATAAGATTACATTAATTAGTAGTTGCAAGGTTATTAATAAATAGACATAATAACAGCAATGTATGTAGTATCTTTGCACATTTGTTGAACATCAAACAAATAAAATAGAAACCGTCAAGATGAGACAAAAAAATCAATTAAAAAACATAAACCTTAATTGTAGAATTTAGGGGTTTAGAAAGTTTAGCTCACCTTCTTTTCGGATGAGAGAAGTGGCGGAGTTGGAAGAGTACTAATTGCCCACGGCGGGAAGAGAGGATGTGGAAGGAAGAGAGGATGTGGAAGAGAACGGCGAGAAGTGGAAGAGCAAAATCGCGAGAAGTGGAAGAGCCGAAAAGGAGTTTGTTAACGGGGTAAGGAGAAAAATAGAAGAATGAATAACGCGCAACAAGTTTATCGCCGAAAGGGAGTTTGTTAACGGGGTAAGGAGAAATCTAATCAATTATCGCAGATAGCGGAGACTAGGTCTAGGCTTCCAATTGCATCTTTCAAGGATAATATTACTTCTACAATAGAATCGCTTCTCTCTTTTCATGCTGGCAATACTCAGCTGCCTTTTCTATGACAACATTTTCTCAAAGTACATACATCTGATTTTTTTATTACACATCACGCCTTTTTAATTTTTTTAGTATATTTATTTATATAATGTGCAAATTATATAATGCTGGCAATACTCAGGTGCCTTTTTAATGTACTATCAATATTGAGATTAGACATAAAAAAAAATGAAAGTGCGAAGCAAACTAAAACTAATGCCATCAAAACCTCTTCCTTAATCGAGGAATGTAGAGTTGCTCTCGACGAAGCTATCGACTTGGCTTTATCAAATGACGAATTTGACCCTCTCGTCGAGTTAATATCTCAAACAGAGGACCGAAAGGCCTTTAATTACCAGCATTCGAAAACCGGAATAACACCACTAATGGTATTTGCCCGAAAAGGAAGAGTCAGTGATATTTGCATGCTTCTCTCTCTCGGTGTAGACTGTAATTTACGATGCAACGAAGGAAAAACCGCTTACACATACGCTGCACAAGCGAATCAAACAGAAGCTGCCGATATTATCAATAAGCATGATGAGAAGGAATTTACATTCTCCGAGGAGTTCAAGTTATTTTTCTTTTCTTTTAAAATCGACGCTATTTTACACGAAACGAGTTCCAAGTACACGCGAACAAAACAACGTGCAATTACAAGAAGAATCAATCATATAACATTATTCGCAAAAATCGCTGCACATTCGACGACATTCGTGGGCTAAAATTAAAAACACTAATAACAATATTTTTTTTTAATCAAAAAAATAAAATATCCACTCTACCTTCTCCTAACCTTAACCCTCGGAGAATTAGAGCGTGACGAAGAAGAAGATAAGCCACTCAGCTTATTATGTTCGGCAATATCTTTATTAAATGCCTTAATCACATCTTCTTTTAATTCGATATAACGCATTCTTTTCGTTCTTTGTTCCTCTGGGCTGCCCTTTTCGAGTAATAAATCGCCTAGTGTATCGTCTTCCAAGAGTAGGTCAAGTACTTCCGAGCAGTTGGGGAAAAAACGACGACCTGTCTCAACTGCAATCAACGCAAATATATATATGTAATTGATATTTTGAACTTTTAAATTATCCGTCATCATTTTTAATTTCGACCTCAACCAAATATACGTGTTTTAATAATGCGATGGTGTACAAATGACAATTGATAAATGCCGTTTCAATTTTACTGGTACCGATTTTCCTTTCCGAATTTGTCAAAAATCTCCAAATTTGTAGTTATTTGAGTCGGCTTTCTAATCCAATTTGAATCGGTTAGACTGGATGTCGTGCGAGAGAATTATGCATGAACGAATGAATGAATGAACGAACACTGCCCTAACCTACAATAATTCTACTTCAAATGTGATTTTGACTGTCTTACGGTCCTAATACGGGAAAACTTGAAGCATAAAAAACGTAGCACTTTGAATTGGCCTTCTAGCACAGCTTGAATCAACTAAATTGGTCGTTGAATGAAAAAAATATGCATAATCTTGGATTTACGGTACCGGTAAAATTGAAACGATGTTTAGCACTTCTGTAATGGAATTATGCTGATTAAGAATGCTCGTTTTGCAAGTTCACTTTTTTTCTACATGATGATTAGCAAATCTAAAATCCATACCAGTTTTGTCGAACAACTACATTTCTGTAAAGTCGAACGGTAGTTGAGTTTGGAAAATTACCAGTTTTTTGCAGGGCTTGCAACCTCAAATGGAGCTTTTTGACTTGCTCGGACGGTATTTCGTTTAAATCAACCTCTCTAAAATTACCATAAGAGCCTTTTGAAGCCGATAATCCAGCAAACTCGAAAGTCGATTCTGCATGCGCTATCTGCATGGCCACTCTCGCTTCAAGTGGAAATAACGTACGTGCCATTGCAACTGTCACAAAATAACCAAATATGTAAAACGAACTCTACGATTTTACAACATTAGTGCTAGCCTTTTAAGGGGAAAAATAAGCCTTATGTGAAAGCATGCATAAGCTCTACACACTTGCATTTAGGCCTCGTTTAGTTTCCATTAATTAGTGGTGTCCATTCTCACGAAAAAAATCCAATAAAATTATACACAATTCTCCTATAAATCACAACAAGAATTCATTCTCACGCAGAAAAAAAATTCGGCCAGCTCAAAGAAGTTATTGCACCAATTCTTGTCAACCAAACAAGGCCCAATCGACTTAAAAAACGAGGGAATGTAGGAATTGTGAAGCAAAATATTTAGCTAATTAAATTTAAAAAAAAAATTACCTCTATTTTCAAGAAGGAGAAGCCTCATATGCAAATCATCAGCCACCATCATCGACGAAACGGACATATTCCCAGCCAATGGATTCCTCCTAATTTCTCTCTCCAACACATCAATACAAAGCCGATCCGTATTAGTCTCCTTACCATGCACCGACGCCTCATTGAAATCCTTCGGCCTAGTCAGCCTCCTGCAAATCGTGACAGCTGTCACTCCATCCCTTGTCCTATCCGAAACAGAAGCACCTTTAGTAAGCAGTCCCACGACTATAGAAGGATCCTTCCGCCGCGCAGCAACATGCAGTACGGTGTACCCCCGTGGGTCCCGGAGGCTGACATCAGCGAATCCTAAGTTTAGAACCTCGGCCACGATTTTAGGGTTGCAATAAGCGGCCGCGTAGTGTAGGGCCAAAGCTGAGTCCAGAGAGATTCCGGATTCTTCCAGAAGCATCTTGACCAGCTCGACGTCGTTGGAGTCGAGCGCTCGGTGGATTCTTTTGATTCTTTTCTCGTTTGTGGGGTCCGCTTGGATGGAGTCGTGTTCTTCTTCTTGGTTGTTGGATTTGAGGCGGAGGCTTTTGACTTCGTTTTGAGTTTGATAAGGGAGCTCCTTTTCGATGATAGTATTGTCGAGATCGGAGCGTGCGATTCTTTGGAGGCAGTGTGACAGGAGTTCGTTTAAGTTGCAAGTAGATGCTACGATGAGGATTGGGATTACGTCTTCGACGAATGCTTTGTCGACGAAATTGAGGAGACGGCGCTGCAGAGAGAGAGAGAGATTAGGAAATATCAGAGAGAGGGAGAGAGATTAAGAAGACGATTAGTGTATGCTAATCAAACAAATTAATCGTCTTCATTAAAAAAAAGGATAAAACGACGAAATTTATTACCTGAACAACCATCACAAGTTCTTTAATCTGGAATGTGGCAGAAGCATACATCATTTCAACAGCATAGTTAATGGCGGGCCCACATGCATCATGAGCGCACGATTCGTCGACACACGTCGCCACCTCAGCTGGAGATGCCTTCACTTTTCCAGTGTACAAGTAATTCAAAACCACCGTAAAAGCTTCGTATCCTATTTTCCCATGCGGGACCAGTTCAGACAAGATATATTTCGGCTTTTTACCTTCCTTTGTGGAAGATCGACTCTCCGCGTTATTATTCTTGAATATTTCGTGGAAAAAATGAGATCTTGCGGCTAATATGCATCGACTGACACCTACTGCGATTCCCTCGACTTCTATTTCTGCATCGCTGTAGTCATATTCAGCACCGCCTATCACTAGCTTTTCAAGACTCGAACTTAATCTACTCAAACTCAATAATTCCAGATTCGCCCCTACTTCGAAGCCAGCTGTGGAAGGCATTTCGTGTCCGCTAGAGCCATTCGATAAATACGAAGACGAGGCGAAGCTCAAGGATGAAGACAGGTCAGCGCCATTCTCCATGGTCAATGATCCAACAAACTTATTCTATTTTTTCACGTTAAATCAAACCTTTGTGCCCAAGAGAAACATTTCTACCCCCAAGAAAAAAAAATCAGCGTGACACCATTTTTTTTCCAAATTCTTCACAGAGACAATTCATCAAACACCTTGCAATCTTTCAACCATAATCAAATTTTCAAACTTCTACAATGAATCTTATCATTCTTGCAGCAACAAAATCAATACACTTCCCATATAATTACAGTCTCAGCTTATACAACTTCAAAATCACTAAAACAATATATCTATTCATACAAAGAAAAACAAAAATCTAACCGCCGAGTAGAGAAAAAAACCTGTAAAAACTTCAACTTTTTCCACCCAACTGTCGATTAATCACAGAAAAAACCGGCTGCCCAGTTCAAGAAATTGCAATAAAAATTGATGCAGAGGAAAACCCAGTTGGAATTCTACAAGAAAATCATCATCTGAGGAATTGAAAAACAAGATAAGAATTTGATTTGGGGGAGAGTTGACTTGACTAGGGTGTTTCTTCAGTTGAAGTTTTTTTGCTGCAATGGGCACCATGTATGAAGTATGTGTGACGCGGTGCAATGCAACTAATTTTTGTTTTAATTATTCAGACAAATTGCATTATAATATGGGAGAGCTGATCTGATTGTTTTCTTTCTTTTTTTAGTATTGTTTCACTTATAAATGGAAACTGACTTTGGGTGATGTTTTGCAAAAACTTCTGTAGATTAGGGTTTTTTTGCAAATTCTTTAAAAAGTAATCTATATAATATATAAATTGAAACCCTCATACCCTAGAATTTCGACATTTGTCATCCACGTAGGCGTCCATGTGTACATCCCAGTCATTGCCCAAGTGTCATTACATATACCATAAATAACTTCACTTTCAAAATCGGATTTGATTGCAAGAATCGGAATAAATCAAACATTATTTAGTAAATCGAAATCAATGCATATTATTTACGGTAGTGATCTTAAATTGTGAATATTTATTCCAAATTATGGAAGTTAATTATGGAATTAATAGTTTTAAATTAATACGGATTTAATTATATCTTAATTAATTGTATATTATTATAAATTTAATACCTAAATTACGATTTACATTACGTTAAGAAATTAATTTCAATAAGTGTACACTAAGAAATTAAGGAATTCTTATTATAATTAAGGACAATTATTAGTTATTACCACTCTATCAATTGCGTAATAAAAATATATTTATATTTAATAAAGAAATATTATTAATTTATTATTTTATACCAATTAGAAAATCTTATTTTTTATTAAAAGAAAAATTATATAGGTTATTATGGTAATGATTAATTTTGTCATTTTTTATTAGAAAATGATATTTTTTATGACAATTATATATTACCGTAATACTATATAGGTTATTATGGTAATGATTAACTTTGTCATCTAATACCAATTAAAATCCGTAATATATATGTAATTATATATTATAATTAATAAATCTCACACTATTTTAGTAACAATATATTCCTCAATCCATAATATATTCAATTATTATTCTTACATTCTAAAGTGAAATAATTTTAATTGTATCAATTTAATGCATATAATTGATTTCCTTAAATATTTATACTATTTACCTTTTATTACATAAAACCTAAGTATAAATACCTCACTCCACATCCATTATTTCTCATTCATATAACAAAGCACACGGCAAGAAAAAAGGTTGTATACCCTAATTCCGTTATTTCATTATTTAGTTAATATTCGATGAGTTTATACAGTAATTTTTCGATTGTTTATATCATATATATATATATATTTTGTATGGTTTTCCGTTTAATAGTTACCAATTTCCTTTATCATTCATACTTACTTTGTTAATTTTATTGTTTATTAGATGTTCGAGTTAGGTCGTCTGCAGAAAGATTTATCTTCCGAAATTTATGAAGGAATGCAAGATGTGGTACTACAAGGAGACATGAAAAAATCTCATATCGAAAAACGCATCAAATTGCCTTCTTCGTTTTTGGGGAAGAATGTGTATGTTTTACATTTTTTTTCATTTTTTTTATTCAAATTTATGTGAAAATAAAATAACACCGATATTAAATATGTTTGTTTACTCGGTACTTTTGTAGATCCACGGATAGCAAGGTATGTGTCATTTGCGGCGACGTCGGCTTCAAAGTAGGATTGCGTAGTTGTATGCATTGCAAGGATATGATGCACATATATTGTATGGACGGAATGTGGAAAAAATTTAATTCTAATAATCAATCTGAAGATTATACATGTGATGATTGTAACCACATAGGTGAAGTACAAGAGATTGATGTTAATGAATTTGAGCATGTCCCATTTAATCAAGGTTTTGTTATATTTTTTAATTTTATATTTTTCGCGTTTATATTTATCTTTTATACATATTATTTAGTGTATATCAACTTCTAAGTTTTTGTTTTTATTTTTTTATGGTTTTGTAGCTACAAACGGAATCAAGCCATGTGTCGTATGCGATGAGGTTGGTTTAAAGGATTTTCTCATAAGTTGTGTCGATTGCGAGGAGTTCATGCATATTTTTTGTGTATCTAACTTTGATACAATAGAGTGGAACGACTCTACCATATCTTCTTGGCGGTGTTGTGAGTGTATCAAACGTGTTAGACCCCAATGACGAACTCATATATGTTATACATATATGAGTCATATGATGTTATACATATGAACTAAAGATTTATATTCTTATTTATTTTACAATCATCATATTAATAAATTTAAGTTCTTATTTATTTTAAGTCATATTAATATTAGTTTTTTTTTTATTATCGACATAAACAAGATAACACAAAATTAATTTTTATCCAATTTAAGAACATAACTATATTTTTAATTGCATTAATGACACATAACTTTGTAGAAATTATAATACAACCCCTATATAGTATTGATTAATTCAAAGAAAAGGCCCACGTAGCAGAACTGTATTTAGTTTTGCTACATAGGTCTTAATTTTTATTTAGAGAATATTGTAATATTGTAAACCCGCTGGACCCGACCCGCCCGACCCGACCCGCCCGCCCGACCCGACTGGGCCATGTGTTATATGTGGTGTAGTTGAAACAGAAGATTACAAAACTTTTTTCAATTGTGGGTTGTGTGAATGTGTGTTTACACATTATATGTGTATACCGTCGAATGAACGTCGGCACTTAGGCTCTGTATGGAGGTGTGGTCAATGCGATTGGTCTTTCAACATGACAATGTATCAACCATTTTCTCAAGAAAATGAATTTCATTTTGATGACGATGTAACTAACATTAATGCATCATTCATCTACTTTGAGAGAAAGTTTACGTTCAAAGATCTTCAACAAAAGGTAAAACCATTTTTTAATGTGAAGTGTTCATTAAATGTTACTTAAACTTATCAGTATATTTAATCTTCTTTTTTCATTTGCATATGTTGTAGTATATACAAAAATCTTTCGCTAAGAATCATGGGTTGATTGGCAAAAACTACATCGATGTTGAGTTTCACGGTGGTACAGCGAGGAATGTTAGAGTACGTACAACAAGAAGACGTAAAATACCTAATGTTTACCTCACTATTGGCTGGAAATCGTTTTGTTCATCCAACAATATGGTTATTGGCAATACATATTCGTTTTCGTTTGACTCAACAAGAAATGTAATTATTGTTGCGAATGTCGATTAGATTATTATGTTTTATCTTTAAATCGTATTATCAATAAGTTAAGTACTTATTAAAAAATATTCCGTACCAATATTTTTTATTAAATTATCGTCACTTTTATATAGTTCTTTTTTATCAATATTAAATCAAATTGTGCATTTATAAAAAAATATTATTACAAAAAAAAACCTGCACACTATTAATTTATATATTAATATAAAACCATCCATCTATAGTATTAGAATTATTATATACTAAAAGCACACGTGTACTAAAATTAAGATTATATAGGAATTTTCATTTATTTTTTTAATCATAAAATTCAAGTGCATATTATTTATGTTATTTACGAGATATAAATTGATTAATTAATAATTTTTACATAAATCCTTATTTAATACACTTTAATACCAAACGTATAATAACTTTACTTTATTATGCTACTAAAGATTATATATTTAGTTATTATGACAATCCGGTAAATACGGAAATATACCAATTAATGTAATTATGCCATATTCCAAACTTTCCAAATATATATCCAATTTAAATATTCGTATTATATGGATACTTACATAATTATACCCTATACAAATAACATATATCATTTATTAATGGCTTGCTTGATTTCATACCTTACAAATCTATCAAAAATTACAATTAATTGCTATTACAATCCACTAACTATGGAAATATGTCAATTAATAAATTCTAAACAAATCTTTCTTCCATAGTTGTATTATATGAATATATTTTTCTCGATTCATATAGATTGTATTCGTGCGTCTATATAATACACGTGTGTTCATTGAATAACATCTCCATCATTCACAATTTGGCGATTGGATTTGCGAAAAAAAAAAAAAATTACTACAAAATATGGTTTTAGAGAATGTCAATCCATCGTTTATATGTTTTATGTTGTCTGCGGATTACAAAAAAAGAATGGTGAGAAATATATTTTTGTAAATATTGTATTTTTAATATCTATGTTTAAACATGCGTAGTGATATACATCATACATCGTCTTATTTTTTCTGTACTTATTTTTTCTGTACTGTTTGATTATGCAGAAATTGCCAGCTGGATTTGTTGAGCCGTACGAAGAATTATTAACTACTACCAATGAAAAGTGGCTGCAATTTCCATCGGGAAAAAAGATACGCGTGTTGGTTGAGAAGCAACCCATTAATGGCACGTCCTTCTATTTCACGAAAGGGTGGAGATGGTTTGTCCTAGACATGAAATTAACACGCACAGATGTAGTTCTATTTACATTTGTAGGTAATAATACATTCGATGTATATGCACACACATTCAACGCATTACTACAAAAGCTTTTACCACTACCGGATTCTTCTTGAATATTTAACTAAACAAACTCTCGAGGTAAGTATTACATGAATACGTGAACGCAGTTCTGCTGTTCTCGACAATGTTATATTTATTATACAACTATATTAGAACTTTTATAATGAAACTATTATGATTTGTTTTTAAGATAAGTTTGTCTTATTAAACGAAAGTTAGTTTTGATTCCATTGTTTGCATGATTTTTGTTGTACATATTATTATATTTATTATACAACTATATTAGAACTTTTATAATGAAACTATTACGATTTGTTTTTAAGATAAGTTTGTCTTATTAAACGAAAGTTAGTTTTGATTCCATTGTTTGCATGATTTTTGTTGTACATATTATTAATGTTACGTTGTTCATTTTAATTTAGATGGCCGGTCAATACGAATTAATTAATACTCTTGGGGCGGACAAAAAATCTCCCAAAATACGTGTTCGTGTTCTACACACTTGGATCGACAAAAGGAAGTATGGAGATTCGCGTGAGTTCATATTCGCCGATGAGCAGGTTAGTATTAATATATATTTTTTTATATTGATCGTTGCCATTCCTCATTACTTTTTTTTATAGGGCGACCGAGTTCAGGCAACCATCAAACTTTCATTACGTTCTAGGTACGAAGGGAAATTGGTGAAGAATAAGTCGTATCTTATTTCGGATTTTTCGCTCATTAATAATACTACAATGTACAAGCATTGCATTGGTGAATATAGAATAAATTTTGGTTATAACACTAAGATTAGGGAAATAACATTCCCTAATATACCAAGCGATGTCTTTAATTTTGTGCCGTATCCGAACATTGGTGATGCTTCAGAGGACAACAAATTCCTCATAGGTAATATTTTTTACTAATTTTTTTCATTCCATTAATGCCCATTATTCCTTAAATAATTTTTTTTTCTTTTTTATCAGATATTATTGGTTCGTTGATTTCTATTGGTGTTCTAAAAACGTTCACCAAGGATGGGGAGGTAAAGGAGAACGTTACCTTGGATCTGGAAGACCTATGGTATATTTCAAGACAAATATTAAATTATTGAAAATGATTTACCAAATTTATGTAGTTGTTTATTATATTCAATAATATTATTGATTTTTTGAACGGTGTTATGTAGTGGTTTGAAGCTGCGTTGTGTGTTGTGGGGTACAATGGCGCATGCTATCCTGCGCTATGTTAAAGAACATGTTGAGGGTCCATATATTGTAGCACTTCAGTTTGCAAAGATACAATATTCTAATATTGGTAATAGTTTGTCAATTTTAAAATTTTGTTTTATTTTATTGCGTGCATTATTCAATTCAACTTTAATGTATATATGTATTAGGTGAAATCGAGGTGTCCAATACATTGTGTTCGTCGAGATTGATCATAAATGATGACATTCCCGAATTGCAAGACTTTAGATCAAGGTAATTGTCCAAATTGTTGTTATAATCAAATGGTCTTATTCCTATATAAAATTGTAATTTTTAAAATATTAAATAATATTCCAATTTTTTTTAGGGTGCTTGAAATGAAACCAAATGAATGCAAGTCTGTAAGTCATATTTCTTCGCAAAATACGTACTCAGTAGAGGAAGATTTTCTGCGACAAACGGCGATGAAAACATTAGACGGTTTAAAAGAGTCAACACAGGTATAAGTAACATATTTGTTATACATGTCAAAATTCTACCTACACGTTGTTAAGTATTTGTATTAATAATATCAACTTGATGTTAAATGTTTAGGTTGGTAAATGTGTCGTCTATGGAACTATAAAGAGTGTGTTGAAGCAAGGTAGATGGTGGTATGATGGATGTGCAAATGTAAAGTGTTACAAAAAAGTTACACAAGATTCTGACAAGTGGTACTGTGAAAATTGCAACAAAAGTTGGACGTCGCCCGAAAAAACGTAAGTGCATATTTAACTAAGTTAACAAGTCGATGTGTTTATTCATAAATCATTTTTTATACATGTTTTTTACATTGTTGGTTATTAATACATTAACCAATTTTAATTCAGTTACAAAATCGAGATGATCGTGATGGATGACACAAATGCTGCATCATTCATCGCCTTTGGCAAACAAGCGGAAAAATTAGTTAGTGTTGATGCAGGAGCTTTAATCCGTATCATGGAAGAAAGAGTAAGTAATTAAATTTATCTAAAAAATTATAACACATTTTTACATGTCTATTAATGATATATATAAAGAACCCTAAATATATATTCTTAAGATGTGTATTATTTTTTCGGCCCCATTATTTAGGGTGAAGATCCTAATGAATATCCTGCTGAACTCGATGGATTGATTGATAAGAAGTTTTTGTTCAAAGTCAATGTCAAGCACAATAACATTGATGACCCTGAAAATTCTACTTATAGTATTCTAACAGTCTGCAACGATAGTGCTATTACTGATTCATTCATCAAAAAGTACCAGTTGGATGAGGTATTAAATTTAATATTGTTTTCTCCAACATGTTTTTAATTTATTATATCCTATTAAAATATATTTTCAATTTTAATGTGTATATGCAGCAAGTTAATACTACTTCACCACATGCAAGTGTCGATGATAGTTCTTCGGTCTGTATGGTGTCATCAAAGGTTGGTAGTCTTCCAATTTAATAAAACATTAGTATTAATTAATTACAATTCGTTCAATTTTATTTTATTAATGGATTATGTAACATTTCAATATAGGAAAACGAGTCATTAACTGTTTCGAAGGATTCAGTTTTCGATTCCTCGGCAGTTGAAATCACTCCAATAAAGAGAAGTCTGGATTTCAGTCTTGATTCGCAAGAGGATGAGAATAACCCAATGCATTCAACCAATGTTCTCTTGAAGAAGATCAAACAGGAAAAAGTGGAATAACAACCTTGGTTTTAAGCATTACTCATTGTTTCCTTTGACATGCTTTTTTTTCGGTCGAACTTAGTTTGTGGTTTTATTCGCTAAGACCTTTTACTTTTTGTTTTTTTGGGTATTTTGCACTATTTATTTATTTGAATTAATATTTAATATTATAATCTATAATTCTATTTTTAAAATTTCTTTTATATAATTCGTAGAATGTTTTTTTCTCAAATTACTAATGTGTCTTTTACTCCATTGAATCCGTTAAAATACAAGTGCTATCTCTCCTCTCTAATTTTTGCCCTTTTTTTTCGTAAAAAAATGATTTTTTACCTATTGTTATATGTTGTTTATATAAAAAGTTATATTAAATTAATAAATACTATTATATTCTAAATATTATAAAATAATATTTTTTTTAATTGGATAATTATGTTAAACAATTAATCAAAAGAATTGCTCGAAATAAATAATTTAGGAGAAAACAACCAAACAAAATAGCCTACATTTATTTAAATAATTTACTAAAAAAAAACTAAAACAAAATTTTTGTTTTAATTATTTAACCCAATTCAGTTTTATTTACTGCTACTAAAAATTTAATCGCACATATATGTATTACCATTAATTTAATAACAAAATTAGATTAAATCAAAAATAATAAAAATAAATTAAAATAAAAATAATAAAGAAAAATAGCAAAATTAAACCGGAAAAGAAGTCCGAATTGAAATTTAATAAGAAAAATAAATTAATTATATCTTAATACTTAAATCCTACATTTATTACCCTAAATAAAATGAGCAATAAAATATAGTTAATATATTATAGTGTACGATTAGGAAGTCTAATGTGGTCTGACTACATTAAATTAATAATAGTAAATTAATCATGGTTTATAGGATAATTGAACAAACGTAAATAATGGATATAAAAACAATGTGTAATATGTTTTAAAATTTACGTGTACTACTCCAAATGTAGGATTATTAAATCTTTTAAAAATATGTTCCACCAAAAAATCTAATTTAGGGATATATCTACTCCTAATATATTCTTATAAATAAGATATATTATTAACTAATTGATTTCTTGCCTTACATATCTTGCAAATTATATATTTAGTTATTATTACAATCCACTAATATGGGAACATGCCAATTAATTAGATCTTAATAAATCATTTTATATTAGTTGTAATATTTGAAGATTTTATGGTCTTAAATAGATTTAATAACAATATTGCAATTATATAAATACGCTACATCATTTTGTTGTATCACATTCTAATATTATTTTTTACGAATATACAATCAAATTATGAAAGAAAACGTTCCACCGCGAGATGTTTTTGACCAGAACAACAGTCATGACACAAAAGCTGCAAGGACAAATCGCTTAAATTATATTCGAAACAAGAGAACATTAACACCGGTGAAAGGTAACAAATATTTTGTTGTTTGCAAATAAATTCGTGAAAATTGTTTCTTTATGGTGTATATTCACAAGTATTCATTTTACTAAACATGGTATTAATATTTCACTCTAATATGGGTCTTACTTGATAGATAAATCAAATAATGAGACCATGAAGGAGTTTCAATCGATCCATGGCTGCGTAAATGGAAATAAAACTGTGGGATTGTGCTCATCTAATTTTATGAAAACACCAACCACAACAAACAGTTCAATTCTATCTGCTATGACAAATGGTTAGTATCATTTCTTTTATTTTCTATTTTTGCTAATTTGTATTTATATATTGTCACGATGTGTTTCCCTACGTTTGTTATACAATAATATATTTACCATTGGATGTAATAATACTTTTAATTTATTCATACAGATGATGGATACACACATAACATGCAAACAAATAGAAATGACAAGGGAAAGAAGCCAATAGACCCCTCAGGTCAATTAAATTATGCATTTATATGTTCGTTTAATACAAATGTCTGCTTCAAATATCATTTAACAATGTCCAATCAATAAATGTTAGTATTGGGCATCCTTATTATATATATTCCGATAATATACATAAATATTTTCGGAAAAAAAATGCAGGTTCTTGCGGAATTTCAATCGATAAATCAAACTTTTATAACACAGAGGAGTTTCGATCTAGGCAGAGAGCTGGAATTCGATTCAAAGATCTTGAATTATATACACCAAATAAACCGACATCACCAACTACACCCACAAATTTAATTCTATCTGATATTACAAATGGTAATGATTAACTATTATATTCGTAGTTTACATACATTTCATGTTACTTAATCCCACTTACATGTTTTAATATGAATATATCTGTATTAAATGAATTTAAATTATTACTGTGATGTGTTTCAGTAAGTAGAACTAAAAGAAACAATGGAAGAGTTGTGAAGGATGTCGCAACAACAGGTACAAACAACATTACCATTTGTAATGGCGAAATAAGATTTATCTTTTGTTTACACATATGTGGCATAATTTAATATATAAATTATAATGGAGAATTACATTTTTATATTATGTAAACAGATTTGGAATACACTGTCAGCAAAAAGAGAGTTGCCCAGTATAAAGGAAAAACTCGAACTCTAAACATTAAAAGTATGTCAAGTACAGATACAAATGACAAAAAAAGCTATAAGAGAAATCGTGAGGTGACATATAACAATGTTGCAGCAAATTGTGAAGGTTTGCACTCTATTGATTAATTATCATCATTAGAATAATTATTCAACATTTTCTTACGGATGTCTTTAATAATTTTTCCAGCGGATACTAATTCGTACCAGATAGATGAGTTACATAACATTGGCAGTGTGCAAAATATTTCTGTTAATACATACTACGAAACCAACAAAAGGTACATTTCGTAATATGTATGAAACACAACATTAATACAATTATATAACACATTTGTATTTAATATGTTACCATATCCAACATTGTAAAAGTATAATATTTTTTTATTCATTGAATAATTTACAGTCATTCGGTTCGTACCGGAAAGATGATATCGAAGAGTCAAAAAACCATACATTCTGTTGCACGTGGCTTGGATATGGATTCAAAACATGTAACTTTGGTCGATGAAGATTTACAGACTATACGGGAAATTACTTCGGATAGCGGAGGTATGTGTTATAATTTCGAACACATTTATCACTTAAAGTTCGTTTTGAATAAATTGTTCATGATAATCAATTGATATCATTATTTTTTTTTATTTAAATAGAATCAGAATATGTATCAAATGACGAAACATTGACCGATTCCGACGACGATGATGGTAAGTACTCCAATATTAATTAAGTAAACATGTTGTTTTCATCGTAATAACATGTGTCTTTTTCCTACGCAGCATACGATGATCTTGGTGATCAGTCATACGAATGCCAATCATGTGGCGCAATGATGTGGTACGGGGAAAGGATCGATAAGCAAAAGGGTACATCAAATCCTAAGTTTTCAATGTGCTGTAATGGAGGAAAAGTAGAATTGCCCAATTTAATAGAAGCACCAGATCCTCTAAAGATTCTCCTATTTGGTACCGATCGAAGAAGCAAGCATTTCCAAGAACACATACGGTCGTATAATATGATGTTCTCATTCACATCTATTGGAGGAAAGATACAGACTACGATAAACAGAGGATCCGGTCCGTACACGTTCCTACTCCATGGACAAAACTACCATTTAATGGGTAGTTTGTTGCCAGATGAAGGATCGCGTCCCAAGTTTGCTCAGCTTTATATATTTGACACGGAGAATGAAGTCAAGAATCGAATGGATGCAGTCAGGTATAAAGCACTTTCAGTTATATGTTCTTATTTTTTTATATTACAAGAAATGTACTTTATGTTTCATTTTATCATTGCAGATCCGGAGACAGTTCCAGCGAATTGGATCCTGAGATTGTTTCTACATTGAAAGATATGGTCGACAGCTCAAATATACTTGCTCAGTCTTACAGAGCTGCCCGGGACAGGCTCGCACAGACAGGAATGGAAGATGTCAAATTGAGACTCATAAAGAAACGGAGTACGGATGGCCGTACTTACAATCTCCCGAACTCCAGTGAAATCGCGGGACTCATTGTTGGTGATTTTGATACCCAGGAGGGTGTTAGAGATATAGTGGTTGAGACACGGTCGAAAAAACTGCAGCGAATCAGTGAGTTGCACCCTTTATATCTTCCATTGCAGTATCCGCTAATATTTCCTTACGGCGAGGATGGTTATAGTGATGATATACCACTGAGGGAAACATCAGTGAGTGGTACACGTATACGCAAGAAGTTAACAATGCGGCAGTACTTTGCATACAGGATCCAGAAAAGATTTGGTGACAGCGCGGTTCTGTTGCACTCAAAAAAATTGTGCCAGCAGTTCATGGTCGACGCATTTTCAATGGTTGAATCGGAAAGACTGAAATTCATAAGATTTAACCAGGATAAGTTAAGAGTTGACATGTACAAGGGTATCGAGGAAAGTATTTTGAAGGGAGATACGGATGCTAGATCCATTGGCACGAGGGTTATTCTACCAGGCAGTTTTACCCAAGGTCCAAGATACATGTTTAACAACTTCGTCGATGCTCTTCAAATATGCAACTGGATTGGATTTCCATCGTTGTTCATCACTATAACCTGCAATCCACAGTGGCCGGAAATTCAAAGGGCGTTGAGCGGTACTAATTTGAGACCTGAAGACCGTCCCGATATTCTTGCTCGAGTTTTTAAGATGAAGCTCGACAGTCTGATGTCAGATTTGAAGAAGGGCAAAATATTTGGTCGCATTAGAGCATGTAAGTATCAATTTATAATATAAAAGTATAACATAATATATATTTTAGGCATTGTATACTCTTATAATATTATACATATTTTATTACGTCAAACATTGAATATTTTTGTATATTAATGCTAACCAAATACGTTTAAAATGTAAAATGTTCAGATGTTTGCACAATTGAGTTTCAGAAGCGCGGTCTCCCGCATGCGCACATATTGATTTGGCTTCACCCTGAAGACAAACCGAAGACATCAAAAGACATAGATAAAATCATATGTGCCGAAATCCCAGACAAGGTAACAGACCGAAAGATGTACGATTTGGTTGAAAAGTATATGATTCACGGTCCGTGCGGTCTGGCCAATCAAAACTCTCCATGCATGAAGGACGGGATTTGCACGAAGCGATTTCCAAAGAGTTTTGTAAACCGTACTGAGGCCGATGCAGATGGTTATCCGGTCTACAGAAGAAGAGAAAATGGGAGGACCGTGGTTAAGAAGAAAACATATCTCGACAATGGTTTCGTCGTGCCTTATAACCGTACTCTACTGAAAAAGTACAGAGCCCACATTAATGTCGAGTTGTGCAACCAGAATAAATCGATAAAGTATTTATTCAAGTATGTCAACAAAGGACACGATCGGGTCACGGCGGCATTTTATCAATCAAATAATCCAGGTGCAACTCCTGAATGTCGCGATGAGATAAAGATGTACTACGACTGCCGATATCTTTCGGCATGCGAGGCTGCTTGGAGGTTATTAAGCTTTGACATTCACTTTAGAGACCCACCGGTGATTAGGTTAAGCTTTCATCTTCCGGACAGTCAGTCTGTTGTGTTCACAGATAATGACTCATTAGTTGATGTGCTGAACAGACCGACTGCGAAGCAAACGATGTTCCTTGCTTGGTTCCAAGCCAATAAGCTGTACCCTGAAGCTAGAAATTTGAGGTATGGAGAGTTTCCACAGAAATTTGTCTATAAGGAAAAAGCTCGCTGTTGGATGCCGAGAAAGATAGGATTCTCGATCGGAAGGGTTACCAATGTACCGCCGGGCAGGGGTGAGGACTATTACTTGAGACTGTTGTTGAACTTCCAAAGAGGTTGCATGTGTTACGATGATCTTAGGAAAGTCGAGGATCACGTCTACCCAACTTTCAAAGATGCGTGCTTTGCGCTTGGACTACTAGATGACGACAAAGAGTACATAGCTGGCATAAAGGAGGCAAACGAGTGGGCCAGTGGTGACTATGTGAGACGATTATTCGTCGTACTTTTGGTCGCAAATAATATGAGCAGACCGGAACATGTGTGGGAGTGTTGCTGGAAAGAATTCACCGAGGATATTGCGTACAGACTGCAACAAAGTCGTTCTAATTCAGGTATGAGAATACATCTTACGTTTTTACACCGTTTACTACACACGTTTGAATTAAAACTATATATTTTTATAATCGCCACATTATGTTATTTTATCATATTATATTATATTGAAGGTCCACCTGTGTCAGACGATACTCTGAGAAACTGCGGTTTGATCGAAATAGAAAATATATTGCAAAGTAACAGCAAAAGCCTGAGTAACTTTCCCCCAATGCCGATTCCAATTGGGTCGATGTCGGACGACACGGTAAATAGATTAGTTCTCGACGAGTTGGACTATGACGTTGATGCTATGCGTGAAGAACTTAAAAAATACCTTTCATCCATTACTGATGAGCAGAAAAAAGTGTTCGATGATATCATGGATGCTGTTACAAATGACAGAGGTGGACTGTTCTTTCTTTATGGGCATGGAGGAACGGGAAAGACTTTCATATGGAAAACTTTATCGGCTGCTATCCGTTCAAAAGGAGAAATAGTTATAAATGTTGCTTCCAGTGGTATTGCTTCGCTTCTACTTCCAGGTGGCAGAACTGCTCATTCTAGATTTGGACTGCCAATAATTGTACATGAGAGCTCCACATGCAGCATCAAACAACAGAGCCCACAGGCAGAATTGTTGTCTAGAGCAAAGCTAATCATATGGGACGAGGCACCGATGATGCACAGGTACTGTTTCGAAGCACTCGACAAAACAATGAAATCTATACTTGATTCAGATATGCCATTCGGAGGCAAGGTTGTAGTGCTTGGAGGGGACTTTCGGCAAATTTTGCCAGTTGTGTTGAAAGCGTCGAGACAAGACATTGTGCATGCTACAATCAATTCGTCACCGTTGTGGAGGCAATGCAAGGTTATGAAGTTAAACAAGAACATGAGACTTGAGTCGTCCTCCTCTTCAGCCAATGCAGATGAAATACGAGAATTTGCGGACTGGATATTGAGAATCGGCAATGGCGATGCTGGCGAGATAAATGACGGTGATGCCACAATTGAAATTCCCGATGACATGCTGATTCGGAATTCTGCAGATCCCTTTCTGGATCTTATAGAGTTTGTCTATCCCGATCTGGTGACCAACCTTTTCACTCCCGAGTATTTCGAAGGCAGAGCAATCCTTGCACCCACTAATGAAAGTGTCGGTTTTGTGAACGATCATTTTTTGTCGATCATAGCTGGAGAGGAGAAGGTCTATTTCAGCTCAGATAGTATGTGCAAGGAGGAGTTGTTATCGGATGTCAACGCAGAAATATACTCACCGGAGTTTCTCAACACCATATCATGTTCCGGAATTCCACCGCATAAGTTGACATTGAAAAGAGGTGTTCCCGTTATGCTCATCAGAAATATCGATCAGGCCAGAGGATTGTGCAATGGAACAAGGCTTCAGATTATTAATATGGGAAAACACGTTCTCAACTGCAGAATCCTGTCCGGTAAACATGTTGGTGATATGGTGTTCATTCCTAGAATGACTTTGGTACCGTCCAACTCTGCATTGCCTATTAAATTCCAGCGACGTCAGTTTCCGTTAATGGTATCATTCGCAATGACAATCAATAAAAGTCAAGGACAAACTCTTTCTCACGTGGGCCTGTACTTGCCGAGACCTGTTTTCAGTCACGGACAGCTCTATGTCGCACTCTCGAGGGTTAAGAGTCGAAGTGGCATAAAGATTTTGATTAACTCGGAATCTGGTGATACGACCAACGTTACAAATAATGTTGTATACAAGGAAGTTTTTCAGCGTATATGAACGTAAGTATTAAAAAATTACAATATTTATTGACGACATTTTTTATCTATTATTTTTATGTTTTGTTATTCCTCATTCGTAGGTTTATTTTTATTGTACTAGGAACTTGCTATGGACTCCGCTCGCTATATTTCATGAATGTAATCTTTTTACAATAATTTTATGCAATTAAACAGTTATATTGGTATTGTTTTGGTAACAATTTACATATTTCGTGTGACCATTTTACAACATATGCAGGTCAGTTGCATTGTATCGGATTTGTTGAATGGGCTTAGGGCGGTTGGTATCAAACAATTCAAGTTTTCAACGTTCACGTCATTATGGTTGTACAAGTTTGGGACCAACTATATATTCGCTCTTTTGTATATGTAAATCAAAACAGTCGATGTTTAGTTTTTTTCACTTATATCAACTTATTTTGAACTTACACCATACAAATTATTTTTATTTTTGAATATGTTTTACTTCTTTCTTTTACTTATTAACAATTAATATCACTATTTTGAGAAACTTTTTTATTATTCAATATTTTGTTTTACGATGAATACCCCGTGCATCGCACGGGTGTATTACTAGTATTAAGTATTTACAACTAGGGGCACGGGTCAGTACGGCTTGATTTTTGTGAAAAACCAAACAAATACCGATAATATCGGTTTTTCAGATTTAAAAAACCAAACATGTCAAGTTTTTTTGGTTCGGTGTTAATCGAATTTTTTGTTTTCGGTTTTCGGTTTACGATTTCGGTATCAATTCACGAGTTTCGGTTTGGCGCAAAACCGATATTTGATTAATTTGAATTTAGACTTTTCAGCAAATTACTTTGAGGATTAACAAATGTATTCTTGCATTCTTTCGGTTCGGTTCGAGAATTCGGCGTGGTTTGAGTCATGCACCATGTACGTGCCGATATTTTCGATTTTTGAGAAAATAAATACCGTATATACCGGATTTTTTGGTCGGGACGGTATATAATGGCTCGATTTTTTCGGGTTTTTTTTTTTCACACCCCTATTTACAACTCAAATTTCATTCTTAATTTACTTCGATGAAATATCAAAAGTGTTCAAATAAAATGAAATTAGATAAAAGAAAAGGAAGTTATAAATGTCAAATAGAATTGTTAGTTACAGACTTACAGTAGAACTTCGATAAATTAATAACGTCGCTGTAAATAATAATTTATTCGGGTTAAAACGTACTAAATTATTTTAATGTTTCACTAAATTAATAGAATTTTTTGTAGTCCTGAATGTATTAATTTATAAATATTTTAAGGTTGTATTTGCAAACGTTTTTCCAAAGTGATTAAGAGTTTTTTAATGTTTAAAAAAAATTGATTTTGAACCAAAAAAACACTCATATGAATCCCGGGGTCGTCATGCTGGCAATACTCGGGTGCCTTTTCTTCGACAACATTTTCCGATTTATTATTACGCATCTTGCTTTTAATTTTGTTGCGTTTCGAGTGTGCAAAGTGCTATTAATTGTTTTCAAGGGTGCAAATTGCCAAAAAAACGACATTTCAAGGGTGCAAGTGTGATTAAGCCTTTTTCACACACACTTCCATGTATCTTCACAACTCTTTTCAATTTATTATTATTATTTTAAATTTTTGTATAAATTCGGAGAAACAAACGGTATTTAATCTCTCTTCGTGATTGTCTTCTTCAACCCCTTGACTATTTTCCAGAACCAAATCGAATTCATCACGGAAAGTAGAGCCGGAACAACAAGCGTCAAGAGGATTCCGAAACCGTGCATCTTCTTCACCTGTTTACGCATGGCCGATCAAATATTGAAACGAGCATTTAATTTAAATGCTAAAACCTCGATATTCATATAAAGCGCGACTTGTACTAAAAATAGCTCAAAACTCGGAAATGATTCGATTTACCTGATCATAATATACGTACGCATGATAGAACAAATAAACGAACAACAATATTCTCGCAACCTGCGAAAGAAACAAGATTACCGATTAAAAAAAAATATGTCGATAGAAGAAAAGAAATTTAAATTATTTTATCCTTTAACTTACCAACCAAGCGAAGAACATTACTACTCCATTTATAATATATGCTCTTGATCTCTTCATTCCAGCTGCATCGAGATACCTTCACAAAAAAAAAGATTCGAATTTTAAATAAAAATGCAAATAATTTGTAATCGAAAATTAAACCGTATTCCGACTTTTACCATCTTAAGTTGATCGAAGGGGTAGTTGCCTCCGATACTAAAACCATGTACGTATAAATCTGCGCTTCACCAGTCAGCATAGTATACGTCACGCCCACCAATGAGAGAACATGATGAAATATCTGAATATGCGTGGTGGCAAAATCGCAATTAAGTTATACACAAATAAATCAAGAAAATTCATGAAATATAAACAGTAAAAATTAGAAATTATTTTCATTACTAAGCCATTAATATAAAAAAAAAAAAAAAAAAAAAGTGATACAAAAATCGAACGGAATGCTTGCTTCCATAGTTGTTTCATATAACAAAAGTGTTGTCTTACGGTACTTAGTATCGGTTTATTGCAATTAGTACCCTTGTATTATATCGAATTGCTGAAAGACTACACCATGTTTTTTTATTGGCAAAAAACCCCTATGATTCAATTTTTTTTAGCACATAACCCCTAAATAGGGGTACTAATTGCTAAAAAAAATTAAATCATAGGGGTTTTTTAGCAATTCAATATAGCAAAAGGGGTACTAATTGCAATATGATAACAACAAGAAAACAGTAAAATAAAAGGGTATTAATTAATCATATATTTAGATCAAAGTGAGTGTGCTTACATACTCGATCCCCCCTAACGAAGGATAGCACCAGATAATCATGCCAATATCCGAGAGGAAATAACCGACAGAAACCTACATTGATTAAGGTAACACTTCTCAAATAGATACACGAAAAAAAAAATACGTAAAAATAGTAGTTGCAATTTTTGTCGTTGCAAGAAAAGTAAATTACAGTTTGTGGGATGATTTTATATTTCGGATACCATAATCTAATGTTTCTATATTTAGGTTGTCCTATTAGGGCTCGTTTGGGAATAATGATAGGGCTGGACGGACTATATAATCACGCGTAATCAAGATGTTATCGCATGTTATGTGGTTTGCGTTTCAAGCCCGTGATTAAAAAACGTCAAGAGAGAGAGAATTACTCACCCCTAGTGTAGATGTGGATAATATTGAACTTCGAAGAGTAATAGGACCACGATCGAGATTATCGGAGTAAAGATCGGACCACAAAATGAAGTAAATCGACATACTCGTAATGTACACGGCATGAAATGTAGATATGGCTCTGCATGAAATCGGTAAACATAACTAAAACTATTAATTAATAAAATTAGAAAAAAAAAAGGATAATTGGTTGAAGATATATAGGGAAAGAAAAACGAAGATCGACTCACCGGTTGCTCCACTCGATTTGTCGAGAATTTGTAAGGTCTAAGTAGCTCTTGAAGAAATAAACACTAAAAAGCTGGCTAAGATCGTATACCTGAATATTCAACAAAAAATCGAAATAAAAATCCATTGACATTTAAATAACTGAAAATACGAGTTACGAAATTGTTGCTTACCATTTTGCAACCGATAATTCCGATTACTACGGAGGTGTAAACGAGAAAAGGATCGGCGGATACATAGTTCTTAAGAAGCAGCTCGGTTTTGCTTTGGTAATATTCGATCAGCATGATGTTAGTTCCTTCGGAATCGGAAGCATCAAAGTATATTCCTTCAGAATTGTTCCATATTTTTCAAATTAATTACGAAATCAACACTAACAATACAGAATCGAAAAATCGGAAAATCAATAATAATTATAATAAATAACCGTAGTTAAAATTTTGGATTAAACTAGTAAAAGAACTTATTTCTTCTATTTAAAAGTTCTGCAAATCACACACACACACACACACACACACACACACACACACACACTAGCTGAAAATCATCTCAACAAAACCAAACTACATACAGAAATAAAATAATTTGTCATTACAAAAAAAAAGGCACACATCTAATACTTGAAGAAAAATTATTAAAATAAAAAATTATTAAAATAAATAATTATTAAAATAAATAAATATTAACATAAATAAATATTAAATCTAAGAAATTATCCAACCAAATGACCAATAATAGAGGATTTATTACAGCGCGAGAATTCAAAGAATAAAAACACAGCAATTCACACAGTCGGATTACCGATGTAAAATATATAGAAAAAAAAAAAGTAGCAGTAGCAAACGAGAAACACAGAGGATCTAAATAAAATCTAATCCTAAAAAAATTTAATTAAAAAAAAAAAAAGAAAAAAAAAAGAGTGGTCGGAGCGAAACATACCAGAGAAATTAGAGAAGGTGGCTGAAAATCAGAGGACAGAATCTGAGTGTAAGAGAAATGAAATCGACGCTTGTCTGAATTTCCATGGCTGAGTTTATATGTTTGTCTCTCTGTTTATTTTATTGTCGTTTTGCTTCACACAGTGTGAAAGCTAAGTATATATTTATTTGTGGGTTTATATATTCTTTTCCTTCAAATGCGGAGCAGAAAGGGGCAAAATAGTAATTTTTTATTCTTGCTTAAAAATTGTCTTAATTCCATTATTATTATTTGTTTAGCATTTTGCACCCTCGAAAATAATTAATAATACTTTGTGCACACAAAACACAATAAAGCATGCATAATGATCCTGAGTGAATTTTTAAAGTTATTGAAGATATTTAATATTTTTAGTAGCATTTTTTGTAGGATGTCACATGTCAAATATTTTTTATATTCATCATCAATCATTTTGAAACTACAAAATGCGAAAATATATCTCATCGATATATTTATAAGAAAAATATTGCACAAAAAATTATTTGGCAAAAAATAAAAATTATAAAAATCTTTCACCTATTTTGTTATCAAGTTATTTGAAAATTATATTTTATTTCAAATTTTTCTACCAAACATTTTTCACTAATTACAGTAAAAGATCCGTCAATCGAATGATTTAGTGAGAAATGTTTTATTTTCTTAAAAAAAATATTAATTTTTTTTTGTTTTTTGAGTAATTAGTTATGATTTTTTATTTATTTATCTTTTTGTCTTTTTTACGCTCGAATTTATGTTGGAGGACGAAGAAAATAATAATTTAATTTATTATTTTACACTTTGGAAATAAATAACCAATAAAAATTTTACCCGCACTAAGTTTTAACGTTTAAATATTCAATTCATGACGTATTGTGAATAATTTATTATGTTTCAAAGGTACAACATGCTAAAATGATATATTTTAAGGGTCCAATGCGAAATGAAGCCGTTAAAACTTGGCTTCATAACATAACGTAATTAAAAACTACTTCCATATTTTTAAAATTTTAGTTGAGACATTAATTTACTACATCATGGTCTCGGTTGATAGGATATTATTGAATAATATTTATTTATAAAATCATATATATTTTGTATGAAAGAAAGTAATATAGTCTCAAGTCAGATGATATCGTGGGTTGAATATCAAACTGAAATTCGACAAACTCGACATATTTTATTAACAAATTAATTTACGCTATTAAATGAAGATCTTGATTCAAAATTTTTTAGTTACTAAATAATCATAGATTAAAAAATGTCGAAAAAAAGTTATGAATTCGTGCTTTATTTCAAATTGCATACCGGGCCCGGTGTGTGCACTAGTTAAAGTGATTGCATAAAGCTCAAATTATAGGGTCTAAAAGATAAAATAAATTAAATATGGTATTTTTATGTAAGATAAAATTCTAAATTGTTATCGAATTTTCGGGTTTTCTAAAATTATTTTGATGAAATATAACAAACTTGTAATTTCTCAAACACGAGGGATTTTTATATGACAACACATGATAGAAAAGTTTCGTGGTCGTTTCCATAAATATTCAAAAGTTTCGGGGACGTTTCTGATAATAATAAAAAAAATAAAAATGCGTTTCAACCCAAAAAGAAATAAAGACTCGGAATGCCTATGTTTAAAAAACCCCTCAAATCATATTTCTCGTTTTCACTTCTAATGATTGTCTAATATTCTTTCAAATCAATACGAAAAATATGTTTATATGGTTGGAATGTAATTTGTAGAATGATAATTCGGATGAAACTTGCAAATCTATATATAATTTGTAGATACAAATATGTAATTGACGATAAGTATATGAGTTAAACATTGTAATATTTTCTAGAAATTACGAATATACCCCTATATTTTAAATATTTAGACGTTTCCCATCTTCCTATATCCAAAATAAAAAATTTAATTTAGTATATGACCTAAATCATAGGGTCGACCCTCCACATAACTAAGGTCATTAAAGATCATATAAATTTTGCAAATTCATTGATTTTGAAGTTTGAAAACTTGTTGAAAAAGGTTTGAACTTTTTCCCGACATCATAATTTATTTCATATAATCAATCTGTCTCAATTGCTACACCATACCTATATTTAAAACTAATAATTATTGTTCATTTATTTTTTATCTTTTAAATTACGGTAAATGATAATCACCAACTGAGGCATGATCAAATGATAAAAACTCTCATTTTATTTGGGTAATTACAATTATTCCCTTCAACTATAAATTTTATTACACGTCCATCATTGTTGTTTCAAATTTAGTCGAATCTTCTGGATTATATGTAATATAACCACTTTGTATCCGTTTTATCCCATTCGAGCTCCACATTTTGAAGCAAAATGATCATAAGATGTGTTTTTTGGCTTGTATATATCAGATTTTGGTGCATAAGAAACTATATTTTTATACAAAACAAGTACAAACTAGAGCACATTCTACGGAATCTAGAAGATTATGTTCAATTTGACACCATAAGAGTGGAGGTGTAATTATCCAAACAAAAGGGTTTTTTGTAATTTGATCATACCTCAGGGGTGGTTGTAATTTACCCCTTTCAATTATTACACCACATATTTAAAAGATTCTGGTGTGAATTACAACCACCTCCCTTAGGTAAACTATGATTACGAAAAAAAACTTTTTTTGAAAAATTACATTAAGCCCCTGCAGTTTGTAAATTTCTTACATCCACCCATACAAAAGGGTGTTAATTTAAGAAATCTATAAATTACAAAGGGGTGGATGTAATTATTCAAAAATAATGAGGGTTTTCGTAAATAATCTTACCTCGGGGTGATTGTAATTTATCCAAGATTATATACAACCATTTGAAAAATGTAGTTAATTATTATATCGTCATTTTAAATTCTTTTAGAAAAAAATAAAATAAAAAATAGTCATGTAGTAATATATTAATTGTCACATGCAGACATGCTCTCACGATATATGAAATATTGTAATAGAATTTGCTAAGTTATAGTCAATTTACAATATTTAATATGCAAACAAGTTTCTCTCAGTTTACAATATTTAATATGCAAACAAAGTCTAATTATTTTCATATAAATTATTTTACCCAAATAATTAGTTTTAAAGTTTAATGAATAACTGTACGCGAGGTAAAAATAATGCCCTTGAAAATGTGGCACTTTGACATTTAACACCCTTGAAAAAAAAATAATAGCACTTCGCACCTCGAAACACAATAAATCAATCACAATGCATCATGAATTGAATATTTAAAATTTAACGAGGGTAATTTAATTTTTTTTATTTTATTTTGGGTGTGCAAACTAATAAAATTAAATTATTATTATATTCCACCCCAAACATAATTTAGAGCGAACAAAATGTCACAACGAATTACTGAAAAAACTTTATTTTTCTTACCAAAAAAAATTCTCACTAAATTATTCAATTGATTGATTTTTAATTGTACTAGTGAAAATATTCGGTAGAAATCTCTGGAAGAAAATATAATTTTCAAATAACTTGATACCTAAATAGCTGAAAGATGTCTTTTGTTCTTTTTGCTTTTTGTAAAATATATTTTTTGTGAAAAAAAATAATTTAATATGCTGACGAGATGTTTTATTTTGCATTTTATAGTTTCGAAATGATTGATGAATAAAAAAACATTGATTTTACATCATCATACATCACATCAAAAAAAAAAAAAACCACTAAAAATATTAAATTACTTTCGTTAGCTTTAAAAAATTCATTCGGGTAGATTATGCATGATTCATTATGTTTTTTAAGGTGCAAAGTGCTATAAAAAGAATTTGAGGATGCAAACTGCCAAAAAACAATATTTTAAGGGTGCAAAGTAGAATTAAGCATATTTTAATATTGAAGGACATATTTTAAAACATAGGGAACATTATTATTCTCACAAGTTTATCATAGTGTTCTTATTTTTAATATGATTTTGTTGTAATCAAATCATGATAATTCAAAGTTCAATGCACGATTTTATATATTATTTTATAAAAACTCGTCTAAAAAAAAATTGAAAAAAAAAGGATAATTTAATTGGCACGTGCGAGATAATAAAAATGTAAATAGTGAAAAAAGAGAGCATTAAATTAGTTTCCCTCTCTATTCGAATTTCAAAACGCAGTGGAGCCATCAGCTACAGTGAGTGACATCCCACCTCTTTCTCTCTCTAGAATAATAATCCCCAATTCAATTTGCTCTGAATAAAACCCCAATTCAATAATTCACATTTTTACATTTATAGATAGTCAAAGACACATAAATGTAAATGTAGAGAGAGAAAAACACAGATAGAGAGAGAGAGAGAGAGAGAGAGAGAGAGAGTAATTGGGGGTATGGCCTTGGTTTTCGCCTGAGAAGAACGGCGGCGGTGGGAAGAGCTATGGGTTGCTTTTTCGGCTGTTTTCGTATCAAAAACCCTAACTCTAATCTCATTACTCCTCGGGTACAATTTGATTTTTTTTTGAATTTTCATGTTCGATGCTTTATTTTCTCTTTCTACTGTCGAGGAAATAATTTTTTTTTAATTTTTTTTTGCAGGAGAATGTGACGTCTAGCAGTAAGAATGCGCTGTCGTCATTGTTCGTATGCGATGGTAATTTCGTTTTCTGTGAATCTCTTTCCTGATGCTTCTGTTTGGTAAAAAAAAATGAAATTAAGAAAGGAATTTTGTATCGTGTTATTGGAATTGATGTGTGTGTGTGTGTGTGTGTGTGTGTGTGTGTGTGTGTGTGTGTGTGTGTTTGGTGGATTTTTTGATCGATTCACTGCTAATTTTTTTGTTTCTTATGGATCGAAAGATGATTCGGTTCGAAAGGGGGAGGAAGGTCGGAAAACGCCGGCTCCGGTACTTGATGTCAGTGAGCTAAAAATTGAGGTATGTGTTTTTGCTAATCTATTAAGAAAAAATAGCAGGAATTTTTTTTTTTTTAAATTTTTTATCATTAAACCAATTTGTATTTTGATTTTATTTTAATTTTAATCCGGAACTAATCTTGAGCTGGTTTGCTAGTAGGATGAATTGATGAATGTACTGTCTTTGGCACCATTAGTTCCACGTAGTGGTGTAATCGAATCAAATCAAGCTAAACGTATGTTTATTGAAGCTTGATTGAATTTTTATTCAGCTTTCAGAGTTGTATTTAAGTTTTGGTTTGATAATCAATCGAGTCGAACGAGCTTTAATTGAGTCGGACACGAATCGAGCTTGAATTAGGTTGATTTTACATATTTTTATCATGTTTTTTCCTAGCTGAGGAGCTTCATAGCTTATCAAATGAAAATATGTGTTCAAGTTTGGTTCATTGTGTTAACAAACTGAGATTTTAACGAACTAACTCGAATGAAGTATCAAATACTTGGTGTTTGATTTCAGCACTAATTCCATGTGCCTGGTTTATCTTTTTAAATTCACGTGATGTAAATACGATCGCCTAGTTAAAGAATAACACTCAGGATACGGATCGTTTTTGGGACTTGATATTATAAATTATGTCCTTTATTTAAAATGCGAAGTTTGTTATTATGTAGGCCAAATTTGTCAAAACTTGTGAAACTTTACCAGAGACGCCTGTTGAAATTCGAAAAACCTTGGACAAATGGGAGGATAAGTCAGCTCAAAACAAAGAAGAAAAATCTGTTGAATTCGATTCATGGCTTCCCGATTCATCCATAGAGAAACCAAAACTGGAGAAGCAATCTGATGCATCTCCAAGATCAGGTTCTACGGTGGACTCTTCTAGCAGTCACAGGTATATTAATCTAATGTCAAGCTTTTGCTTCTAATAAAAACTTCACAAATATACGATTTCACATTCGTAGGCATTAACAGTAAATGCAATAGCATTGATATATGAAATTGGATTGTAAAATTTATTGAAATGTGTTATTTTACTTTTTAGTTCCGAAAGTTTAAGAGTTGGAAACTTATTTTTGTGTATATTTGTTGTATTCTGCTTGTTAGCTGCATGACAGATGGAGGTAACACCGGAAGAGTGTCTAACAGCCCTGTCCGAAGAAGAGATTTTCAGAATGTTATTACAACAACCATGCACATGTCTGATAGTGAAACTCATTCCGAAACTTCATCGGTTACTTCTCGGAATTTTCCACCTAGTGCACAATGCGAAAGTTCCGACTCCAACCACCTTAGAGAACAACCACTTAAGCTAAACGATGAAGATAACGAAGATGTTAATAGCGAATCAAGCCTGTCATCCTGGTTCAAACCGGTTTCAGACAAACGAGATTGCAGTAACGAAGAATCTGGTTCCGTTTATGGTAAGAAAGTTCATAAAGGGAAAACTCCTAAAGATAGGCCTATAATAGGGATGGTGGCAGCCCATTGGAACGATGATGTCACGACTCATATTTCACCTAAATGGTGGGATGGGAATGGAATCCCAAATTCTACCAACAAGTACAAAGAGGTAATCTCGATTCAATATTTTTTATTTTTTTAAAATAAATATTTTGTCTAACTGCCCAAATCGAGACTTATTAAGTTAACTTAACAGGATCAGAAAGTTAGTTGGCATGCAACACCATTTGAGGAGAGACTAGAAAAGGCACTTTCTGAAGAAACTTTTATATCTCAGAGGTAATATTGTGTTGCTTACGATTTTTTGGTTAATGAAATCCTTGCACTAAAATTTTCCACAACGAAAAAAATTTGTAAAATTGATTTGCCATATTTATAAATTAAAACGTCTCGATTTAGCAGGAAGACAACAAGCGGAAAACCCCCTTTAGAGTTCAAAGAAACGGAAGAGTGCGATACTGCTTTATCACATCTACAGCCTTCAGCCCACATCAAATCCGTTGTATCATTTTAATGAAGAATGAGACCGTTGTTTTCGTTTTTACGTTTTTTCATCGTTGTTTGCTTTTTTTTTTTTTTTTTTTTTTTTTTTTTTTTTTTTGTGTGTTCTATGAATGTATATAAAAACGAAGAGGCTCTCTTTGAAATTGCACATGGTTAGATGTCCTCGGTTTGTACCTCATAGAACTGGAACGGGTTTTTTGGACTGAAATATATTTGTTTACTGTCTAACTTGTTTATTCCATCTATCCTACACCTGATGAACTTTATCTTTATTTGGAGGTGTAAATGAGTCGAGAGCTCGATAGGCCGTCCCGACAAAAGCTCGAGCTCTATCTTTTTCATGAGCTTGAGCTCAAACCCATTTTTAGCTATTCATGAGCTCAAAAGCTGAATAGCAGCCAGCTTTTTAATTATTTATTTTATATTTTTTTATATAAAATTAGGACAAAATGCACCTTTGCCCCCATAAATTTCTGTTTTTGCACTTTCCCCCCTAAAAATTAAAAAAATGGATATTCCCCCTTCGAAATAATATATTGATTGCACTTTGCCCCATAAGCCAATTTTTTGGAGGGCAGTGTGCAACAAAAATAACATTTTAAAGGGCAATGTGCAAAAAAAAATGTATATCTTTAAGGGGACAACGTGCAATAAAAAAATATTTAAAAGGGCAACATGCAATAAATATCCTCAATGCCGATAAACAATCCATCGGAATTTTGCTATCGGAGCAATATGCAACAAAAGTAATATTTTGAAGGGGGCATTCACTTTTAAGGGAGTGATGTGCAATTTGCCCATAAAATTATAATAAATTACTAATATTGGAATTGTAATATAATAATTTACAAAATAATATTACAATAAAAAAATAATGTTATATCAATGCTACAACAATCCCCTTAAAACCTTTAAATTTGCAAAAAGGGTAAAAAGGAAATGCAGAAAAATTAAGTTTAGGGGTTAAAGTATAAAGTTCTCAATATATCTCTTTATTTTACTAGAAATCATAAAACTTAGGGACCAAATTGAAACTTTTGAAAACTTAAGTGACTTAAATTAGATTTGCATTCCTGCAATCGACCCTACCCCAAATCAGAAACCCCTCCCTTCAATAGTCGGCATCACCGGCCCTAAATCCATTTCCGCCGCCACGAACAACACACTTACACCGCCAGATAAATCCCCGTCACGGTGCGCGAGAGCCGCATATTCCGGCGGATAAATCGCTTCTTTTAGATTTTAGAACACTCCAGCAGCTATATGCCCGAATTTTGTCCCAGTGGCCTCCGTTCCGGTTCCGGCAACCCCGTTCCGGCAGCTATAGCGGCGTTCCGGCGAACCATGAGTATGGGGGAAGTGGTAAATGCTCTTAAACCTGTACTTTACTCGGAAATTACATTGTTGTGAAATTTGTATTTAATCAATTTGATCACTAAATTAAGTGTGAATTCTCTCTAGATCTTGTCTCTCATTATGTATATACAGTATATGTTTCTAATTAGCTAGTCTAATTAGCTAGTTTAGTGGATTAAGAAAAGATTAATTCTGATCTTTAAATTCATCTGTTGATTGATGTACTGAAATTGTTCCTCTATATCAGAATTTTGCGCAAGCTGAGGATGTACGGTTGGAGACTACTCGTGCAAGATGTATTGACTTTTTGCATTTTTTTCCCGCTTTTTATTCAGATATTATACTCGTGATTCCTTAGGATTACTAACGGAACCTTTCGTTTCTTTGCCAGTATCGAATGTCCTTAAAAGGCACGGAGAATTAACCGAAAAACTTTCTAGGTATAAATTATATTTTCCTTTTTGATTCTGCTACTTGAATTTCTATGTAAGTGGATGGTTTTTGTCAACTATAATTTAAGATAGTAGTTCTAAAAGTAGGCGCGCTTTTCGTAGGGATTCCGATAAGACTGTTTTTGAGCGTTTGCAAAGAGAATTTGAAGCTGCACACGCTTCTCAAACACAAGGTATTCTTACGCCCGTTTCTTTTTATTAGATGTTTAAGGGTTTACGCACACAAATTAAGTATATCTTTAAATAGCCTTTGTTTTCTAATACGGTAATAAGTATATCTTTAAATAGCCTTCATTTTGTAATACGGTATTTATTATCTTGTAGAAATATGTTTAGATGGTGAGCAATGGAATGATGGGTTATTAGCTACAGTAAGAGAACGGGTATGGTTTTATTATGTTTTTCAATCTATGGGTTTATTATGCTAAGGTTAATTGTAAATGTTCTTTTTTTTGTTTGTGATGTGAATTTCAAATTGATGATTGTTTTCTGCGTCAGGTTCACATGGAGGCTGAAAGAAAAGCAACGCAAGTGCAAGGCGATGCAGCTGCAATGGCAATTCTTCCTTTTCAGGAAAAAATAACTTACAAAGTTGGAAATAAAGTAAATCACGATTGATGATTAATTGCTCTTTGATTTCATATTCCAAATTCCGACCTATATTCGAAATCTAAAATGATACAGTTGGAGTAATCAATACGTTGAGTTAAAAATAAAATTCCACCTTGCATAGATTTTCTACTCGTATCAATAACTATAAACTATTAACGCATTGAATCACCTACAAGGGAACCCTTGATAAGACGACATACTGTAATGTTGACAGTAGTTTTGGATAATTAGTTGAAGACAGTGATTTGCTTCTTATATATACATATTTTCCATTATCAGATGATCTGTTGTTTGGATGGAGCTAGAATTGGAGTTCAATACGAGACATCATTTGCAGGTAGCCACTGAGTTATTAACATATTTATGCAAATCATATTGTGTGAAATTAAAGGTGTTTAATATTCTTTGCGAATTTACAATTTTAAATTAGCTGACTGGTATGTTTCACAATTCAACCTAATCGCAATGGAGCCAAGTGATGATAGAAATTCACTTATAATGTATTCTCTTAGCTCTGTTGTTTTTCGGTTTAAAAGTTGATATATGTCATAGAATTCTTCAAGCTAGTTTACCCTGTTTGAATGCATAGGAATGTGTTGGCACTCAATTTTCTGATGCTTAGAGTTCTCGTTAGTAGATTCAAAACTTAAATTTTCGGTTATAGCCAATTTGGTTTTACTTATACAATAAAGTAAAAGAACTATTTGTAAATTTAAGGATTGAGCTTTACAGAGAAAAATGACAGTTATTAAATTTTACAGGGGAACCTTGTGAGCTGTTCCATTGTGTTCTAGAAAGCAAGTCGTTTCTTGAGAAAATGACAGTTACTGAGCACACAATCCCTTTTTTCTTGCCGATACGCGAGGTGGAAAATGATTATCTCTCTTCGAATGCAATGGTAAGATTAGCTGCATTAAAATTATGTCATAAATGAATTACGAATCCTTAAAAGTACCTATATTTCTATTTGTCTTAACAGAAGTTCATAGACCACGTGGGAGAATTACTGCAGTCTTATGTTGATCGACGGGAACAGGTATGCTTTTTATTTAAAAAAAAATAATCTTCGAGGCATTCATAAAAGTTGTTCCCTTGCCTTCTTCACCATGTTCTATTGTTTCTTTCCAGGTTCGCCTCATAAAGGAGTTGTACGGAAATCAAATAGGCGAACTTTATTGTAGTCTTCCATATCATATGATTGAATTTGTGATTGCAGATTTTGATTGGTAGGCAAAGCCCTGATTTCAGTGTATATATCAGTTTTATTTTATTTATCACGCAATTCAGGTTATAATTGTTCCTCGACTTAGCTTGCACATTTGTTTCTCTCTCTAATCTTTTGGAACAAATTCACTGCATATTTGTCATCTGTTTCAACTTTCAAGCCTTACGCACGACACAGTAATAATTAATTAATGATTATCCATTTTTCTTGCATTAAATAGATAGGTTGGTTGACTATTTTATTTTAATGCCTTTTTTAAGTGCTTACATTTAATTTTTTTATTTTTATTTTGGTTTTTATTCGTTCGACAGCAAAGTAACAGTGAGCCTTAGATATGCCGATCTCGTCTCTACACTTCCGTCAACAATCAGTGTCCTTGCATGGCCCATGCAGCAACCTAAGAGACTTCGAACCGGTTTATTACCGATCAACAGAAACCTAGGAAATCAACTCATTCCATCTCGTTTAGTACATGCTGAGGATGCACTGCGATCAATGAGTTTACCTGAAGGTATTAATTGCACATGCCTTGTGTATATATGTGCGTGCGCCCACAATTTTATCCATTTACTATTTTTTTTTTCCTTTTTTTTTTCGTTCTTGCAGCTTTTGCAGATATTGTTTTGAGCATGCCTCAAACTCTAAAAGAAATATTCCCAGATCAATCTCCATAGTTCTCATGCTCTTTTGCGGGTATAGTAAAGGATGACACTCGAGTAAATAAAATACAAACTATTTTTGAAATTGTAAATCCGAACACCAACGAAACGAGGGGTGAAAAATGAAAGGGAATATTCTCTGAAGACGGAGGATCAATGTTATCTCGGGTTATGGTTTTCTCCTGGCTCGCGCATGACGTGTAATTTTGTGTAGCTTCAAAACAAAAACCGATGCCTGCACAGTGGAACTTTTGCCATATTATCTTAGATTAGCACAAGGATGTGTCGTCGAAAATGCTTCTGTCTTAGTATCATTATTTTTTTAGAGGGCATTCTAGTCTTTGTGTGCACATGGGATTTGTGATTTTTTTTTTTTTGTGAACTTATTATACTACCCTCTGTATTGATGAAATATGCTTTATTTTCATTTGATCTGATCAGTTACTTTATCTGTTTCTTGGATCTGAAAATTGATATTTTCTGAGAATTTAGGACGAGATTTCTGAATTCTGCTGATTCCGATTCATTTTGGTAATACATACTTCCATTCGATTTTTTAAATGGAGTACGCAATTTGAATCCACAGATATCAAAAACAACTTGCAAGAATTTAAAAGCCAATTTTTTTTTCATCACAGTATTACCGAAGTGATTTCCGCCGTTGGATCTCTAATCATTCACTAAATCGACGTCCTCAAATATTTAGAGTGAAAATGGTGATGATCAGTTCTTCATAGATAATGGAAATTACCATTTTGGTAATATCAATTACACAACAATTTGAAAGAAAATATAATCACATCACCAAATTAACGTCAATATATATATATATATATATATATATATATATATATATATATATATATATATATATATATATATATATATATATATATGTGACTCGATTTCTTAATGTCAAATGTACTAAACATGCTCTCTTGTAATAATATTCTTCCCTTATAATACATAACAATTTAAATCCGTATAGATACATGGCCTACATATTAGACTCAACATAACTATTAAATATACAATGAAACATGTCGAAGAAGAGTTCATCGAAAAATCCCCTAAATCCCGATTTTCTACGTCAAGTTGATAAGAAAAACATGCAGCAACACAAATCATTTATCAACAGAACCAAACAATCACAAGTGAGTGCAACATACTTTTGAAGAAAAATAGGCTTCTACGAAATTAGGCTCGACAAAAAAAAAAAAAAATTCTCTCAAGGCTGATTATGAGAAGAGCCGTGATCTTGGTGACTATTGAGAGGGAAATTTACCACAGTAATATCGTGTGCGGTGTTCCCTTCCACATCTGATCCCACCTCTCTAACATCAGCTATCCTAGCTTCGGTGGTTTGAATATCACTCCATTCGCTCTCCCTAATAGAATGGAGATCCGATTGTTCGACTGGTGGATGAACTACACTTTCGGAATGTCCAGGTGTCGTTGCCTTTGAGACACTTAGGCATGCTTTATCCACATTCTCTTGTGATGGATCCACGTACTTTGTTAGTGGTGAATCACCACCAATACTAGAACAAGATTCATTCTTTTCGATTTGCTGCCTGCCAAACGAGAATACAAAGAAATTTCAGTAAATTATGAATTACACACTAAGTCAAGAATACTTCAACAGATTATTTACGATAGGAATCTCAGCTAGGTTATTTGTGTCCATCTTCGTTACGAAATTTGTTTCTGTTTTGGGAATAATTATTTCCTTATTAGGACTCTTTTCTAATCTCTTATATAGATAAGAAAGTGGGCTCATTGACTCATTCAATAATGTCCTCACTATCCTGGCTTTTTCCGTAGTATTCTGTTTGGATAATCCTGACCTTTTTTTCTATTCTTAAAGCAATAATTAAAGAACGGGATGTGATAAATGTCGTTTCAGTTTTAATAATACAGTTACGACTTCAAATGTGATCTTGACCATATTTTTAGTCTGAATTCAGCAAAACTTATAACACGGAATTCGTAGTTCTTTGAGTTAGCTTTCTAATCCAACTTGAATCACCAAAATCGGATGTCTCGTGAGAGAGATATGCATGAATCAATTAACATTGCCCATAACACTCATGCTTTGGGTTATCTAATATTCAAAATGTAACTCATTCATTCATAACTTTGTCACCAACATCCAATCTAGCTGATTCAAGTTGGATTAGAAAGCTAACTCAAAGGACTACAATTTCCGTGTTTTGAATTTTGCCAAAATCAAACTAGAAACAGGTCAAAATCACATCAGAAGTCAAAACGGTATTAATAAAATTGAAACGACATTTAACATTTCAGTTAAAAAACTTAGGCAAAACAAAAACCGGGAAAGGAGGCAGGCAAAAAATTCCACGAGCAAACTACCTACATAGAGCAAGTTAAATTTATCAAAGATGTTGATATTAACCTTTTGAGCTGATCCTGTAGTACATTTACATATGCAAGTAGTTCTTGTTTGTCAGTGGCAGAAGCTGACTCTTTCTCCATTGCTTCCTTTATTCTAGCTTCAGCACCAGCCTCTGCAACCCTAACCTTCTCTTCTGCTCGAACAACTGCTCCTTCCAATATCACACCACGTTCTCTAGCTTTAGCAAGCTCCGAACGCCACATATGTGCTTCCTGAACGGCCGAGTCCCTTTGTTTCGTAAGCTGTTCTTTCTCTCTGCTCAGATTCTGAACTTTTTCTTCCAATTCTCTCATCTATTATATAAATAAATTCCAGTGTTAATTAAGTAAAAATTGACTGCATCTCAAAATGAAACTTTAGAGGCTACGAGAATCTAGAAATTGCCTTCAGTTTAGATGACTCCAGTTGTTTTTCTGAATCTCTAATTAGGCGTTCGACCTCTGCAAATGCAATTCGTCGTTGCTCATCCATGGTATGAGCAGCCGATGCTGCTGCTTCAGCGGCTACAGCAGTTTCAGATAGTTTTTCTGCAAGTTCCTTTATAGTGGAATCTCTAGCACGAAGATCCCTTGCTAAATTTTGCAGCTCTTCGTCCTTCACTCTCAGGGTTTCCTTCAATACAGATAAAATAATAATTCACATGAAGTGCTAATTAAATTAACTTTTCTTCCTTGTTCGTTTTAAGTTGTAGGATACCTGCCTTTGCTACTTGATCGTATTTTCCATCGGACATAAGTAATGATAATGTGCAAACTGCTCAGGTACACACACACACACACACACAAGAATGATTTTCTTACCTTCATGATTGATAAATCGTCCATAGGAAAATCAGGAGTCTTATTCAGCATAGCTCCCAAGGCATTCTTCATGGAAATATGCAGTGCAGCTTCAATTTCTTTAGAAGCTTCCAAGGCTGTTGAATTAGCAGCAGCAACAACAGCGGCAACAGTTCCTAACTTTGTAGATCCGTTTCCACTTAAGGTATTTACTGCATCTTTATGAGCCTTCAGAACCAGTTGCGTCGCACTGCATTTTGAAGGGGAAACCAAAATTTGGAAGACCACACACACACTAAAAAAAGAGGGGAGTGTTCGAGAAGAAATTTCAACCTGTTAACGTGAGAGAAACTCGAAGCTTCTAAGTTCTACTATTGGCCCATATTTACAATAAAATTCAAAAGCAGCTAAAAATGTGTCTTAACTAGTATGTTCCCACAGTTACCACTGAAATAAATTGCAAAGTAAGTTGCAAAAAGCATATAACATGGGTGATAAAGTTGAACACTTACTGCAGAGTAGATACCCAAGCTCGAGTAGCAGCAGGAGTTTCCGCACAGAGGAAATAATCCTTTTTCTGTGGTGTCCCAATATCTAAGAACCAGGTTAAGAATCCAAAAGGATAAGTGGTATCAAGTTTCATCATATAAGAATGAAAAGGAATAAGTTAAAACTTTATTCAATTTCCAAATTCCAGCTTCTCACAGCCTTAGACACGCATTGTATTTTTTCTATCTTCCAAAGATATAAGAAACATAAAAAGCCCAGATGTAATTTGAAGTATCAACGTGGATACAAAAGCAACAGCCATCATACTTTGGTAGTCCCCTGAATCAAGACAAAGAAGCAAATGTAAGTATGATGACAAATCTATCATGAAAATGAATCTGCTCAAAATATGAATAACATAATTCCTTATACAGCACAGTATAAACGAAATAAAAATACGAATCTCACTGGAAGTTCACAGGAGAAAGAGTTATAGTGCTGTTTGCATCAAATGCCATGGTTCCTTTCACTGTTGGCTCATTTCTCTTGACCCTATAGATGCAAATCAATAAACACTTCTTTAAAAGGCTTCGTTAACCAAGAAGAAACAGTGCTGACAGAGAAAGGGTCATATTCAGCTTCTTACTTGTATTCCATCTTCCCAGTGGTCGGGTCTAAAATCACCCACCTCTCGTTCCACTTCCTCAGCTGTTAACAAGAATAAAGTAAGAAACACACACATTTTAATTATCTCTCTCTTGCTGCCCTACATCGTGTTCTCCCTCTATATATTATGACCACCCCATGCTTCCAAACAATCGACTACCTAGTGCCCGAGAAAGCAACATTAACTGAAAATCAATATTCATCGCCTAGGCTTTTCATTTTTAACTTCTCTTCTAACTGAATCCAAAACCATCAAGAAATAGGACATTACAATATCAGTTTGTATATAAACATTCGATGTTTTCTCTGCGTCAATCAATAGACATTTCCAGTAAACACGATTTCTAAATTTACCAGTTATCACAAAATGAATTGCATATATGCATGTAGCTCTATCAGAAATTCATCCATGTTTATCCCAAGTTTTCCAGTTTTTTTCCAAAACTCCCACCCGACCACAATCTTTGATTCAATCTAAATCGATGTACTTCTATCACATGTCAGCTAAAAACTAAATAGAGCTTTCAGCACCCCAAGTTGTGTACATGATAAGCCGACGAAAGCTACAAGCCAAACTCTAACATGGCACATAATAAATATAGAAGAAAATAACCGAAAATAAAAAAGTCAACCCCCACTGCCATGGTCCACCCACACCATTTCTGCCTCACTGATCGAAAATAATCAGTCAATTAGCAAAATTACATTGAAAAAAAACAATGGAAGCTCAAACCCCATATCTAAGTGATTTCGAATTTCACAAAAAAAAAAAAATCCAGAAAAAATATAATAAATAAATGCAGCCGTATGCAACAGAACTACAGAAGCAGTGAAACTGAAAAAATAAGATAAATTACCGTTTCAGATCGCTTGAGGAGTGGTCCTTGAAGAAGATTTCTGCCGGAGCTCGACGCCAGCTGTCTTTTGATCTTATCCAAGCTCATCTTCGTATCCGCATCTCCCTGCACAATTTTTTCGAAACCCAAATATTTTGACCGGAAAATCAAAATTACGTGCACGAATTAAGAAATAACAAAACAAAATTTACGAGTGGAGCTCCATTGGAGGCCATGGTGGAATCTGATCGAAACTATTGATCGGAAATCTTCGATTGCGTGTTTTTTCTGTGTGAAATTTAGTGAGGGTTTTGGGGAAAGCAGATAGAGAACGATGATCTGCTGTTTCGGTTGTTGGACCTGTTCGGTGGGTTTTTACTTCTCTTTCTTAATTTTATTTTTTGCTATTTTCTCTTCTTTTCTTACAACTTCTTTTTATTTCAATTTAATTTATTAGTGGAATTTATTTATTGGATAAATTACGGCCAGCGCTGAAGTAAGATCAAATTACGAAAAAATATTTCTATGTTTGGGTAATTACACCACCCTTCAGCTATGATTCTTCTTACATGTTCATTCTTACGGTGTCAAATTTAGTGGAATCTTCTAGATTATGATGAATATTTTTCAGCTTGTACCCGTTTTACCCATTCGAGCTTCATATTTTGAAACATGATGATCATAAGATGTGTCTCTTGTCTTGTAAATATCAGATTGTGGTGTATCAGAAACTGCATTTTTGCGCAAAATGAGTACAAAGTAGAGAACATTCCACATAATTTAGAAGATTATGCTGAATTTGAGACCATAATAATGGACGTGTAAGAAGATTCATAGTTAATGGAGATGATTTTAATTACCAAAACAAGAAAAGATTTTCCGTAATTTAACCTTACTTCACCCAATAACATTGGGGTTGACATTTTGGACTCCATCAAATTACTAGCCATATTGTATCAAATATTGTCTTTCCAACTATACCCTTCACTACACACTCCATTATTCTAGATTACGTGGAAAATTTTCTAACTTCTACTATAAATCTTCTTACACATCCACCCTCGTAGTGTTAAGTTTAGAGGAATATTCTAGATTATGTGGAAAATTTACCAATTTGTACATATTTTATCACATTCGAGCTCTACATTTTAAAACAAGATGATCATAAGATGTGTCTCTTGACTTGTAAATATCAGACTGTGGCGCATCATAAACTGCATTTTTTTTTCACAAAAACGAGTACAAACTAGAGACCATTCCACAAAATTTAGATGATTATGTTGAATTTGTCAACATAAAGGTAGATGTGTGAGAAGATTAATAGATGTAGTTATCTAAACAAGAAGAGTTTTTTCGTAATTTGACCGTAACTCAGGGGTGGTTGTAATTTACCCTTATATATTAAAGTAAAATGTTGTTAGAAAATCTCATTTAATACCAAATTTAGGTGGTGTTTGCAAATGCTTATTTAAAAGCAGAAGTTAGTGATTGTGAGTGAAGTAAGTTTTAAGTACTTATTTCTAAAAGTTGGGGGTGTTTGCAAAATATTCTGGAAAATGAACTTAAATATAAAAAGCAGGGCTATGAGTGCTTTTCAAAAAATAGCTTAAAACATATTATTTTAAGAGAAGTAAAAACAAAAGTTAATTTTGCAAACACTTGAAAACAGATTATGAGCAAAAAAAAGCTCATAATCACTTACAAAAAGCGTTTGCAAACACCACCTTAATATTTATAGTACTAAGTACTAAAACGTTCCGGCGTTGGTGGAATCCCGACGGTTCGACGGTGGACTTATGTCAATTGAAACTCTCTGGGATACTTTTGGAATATGAATTTATCGGGAGCTTTCCAAAATGAAAAAAATTGCATGGAGGCCAGAAAATATATGGACTAAAGTTGAATTAACTGAAGATGGAGGGGCAGAAAATACAATTATTTATCCACTTTAAATGCCTCAAATTTCATAAAATCACAAAAACAGTCCCCATTCAAAAACCCTAGATACAATACAACCCTCCCGCCCATTCCCAATCCGTTTCCCCCTCCGGCAATGGCCACCGTTTCCAAGCCGCCGGCGAGCTTCGCCATCACACCCCACAAGCTCTCCATCTGCATTTTGGTTCAAGTGTACGCGCCGCCTTCTCAAATCTCCGTTCCGTTTCCTTTCTCATCCGTTTCCCAGCACAACAGTCTCGGCATTTTCCTGATATCACTCACAAAGGTTTGAATCTCAGCTAATAATTTTGATATTTATCGTCTTATCTTCATCCGGAAATGGGCAATTCAGGTAATTTTATTTGTTTTTGAATTGTTTAGGCATGTGATGGCATTTTTGAGCCGACGGTAGATGAACTGATTGATCATTTGAGGGAGATTGGTGGCTTGCTCAATCACTGGTTGAGTGATCACTTAACTCGGAGGCTTTCATCGTTGTCATCACCGGATGACTTGTTTAATTTCTTTGCTGATTTGCGAGGTAAATGGCTTTTTTTTTTTATTATTTTGAAAGCATTATGAGTCTAATTACCTGTGTTTATTTGGAAAGGGATTATGAAGTTGATGTGTTATTATTTTCGTTGCAAAATTTACTGCCGTGGTTGTAAGGCTAATTGTTGCCAAGATAATGGTTTGCAGTGATATGTTGGTGTACTTGATTGGTTCTTCAAATGGTTATAATTTGATTCCTGGCGTTGTGATTTTCGTTTGCTACCGTTGTTTTAGAATAAATAAGAAAATGTTTCTGATTTAGTGTCTTTGATCAGGGATTTTAGGGGGCTCTGACTCTAATGTTATGGACGATGATCAAATTATGTTGGATCCTAACAGTAATATTGGCATCTTTATAAGGCGTTGCTTGCTTGCCTTCAATCAAATGTCATTCGAGGTAATTATATTCAACATTTTGTCTCCATTTGAACATGCTGATATTCGAGGTAATTATTCTGGTGCCTCCCATACAGTCTCCTCAAACTCACAATCATATCAACCTCAAAAATCAACAAGGTCAAATGTGCAGCTTCTCTTAGAGCATGTAGATGCCACACCGTCCTGCTATTATGTTTTTGGATGCATTTGTAATAAGGGCCCGGGTAGGAGTAATATTCATCACACATATAGCTTATACATCATAAGACATACAGTTATATGCTCCACATTTTGTGTCATTAGTTATTATGCTGATCAGTTTTTCGTAAACAGTTTGGTAGTTACCAGCCATATATATGTCTTGCTACGGTACATGAGAACATATTGTGACCAAAACAGGTCATTTTTCAAAGTTTCCATTATGATACGTTGATATTAAGCTGTTATTCGTTTTTTTTCCATTTGTATGGTACTAGATCTGATAAGTGGATGGAACACTGCAAAATTCCTGAAAGTATATGGTCAAGAAATTTATGTTAATGAAGGAGTACTTCCTGTAATACCAACCATTATGTTTACAGTTTACTAAAGTTAGACCTACTACAATTGATACTTCGGAAAGTACGTATCTCAAAACTATTTTCTCTTTGCAGGGTATCTGCCACCTTTTAACAAATATAGGGTCATATTGTAAGGAATCCCTCTCAGGGTACCCTCCGTATGAGTTTTCCTCTAATGATCCAAATGTTCCATCAGAGTTTGAGAATATGGATATGGAAAATTTTAATTATGAGAAAGATAGTGAAGATTTTGAGGAAAGTAGCATGGAAGTCGGAAGAATTCCTTACCGTGGCCATGCATCCAAAGTTTTTTCTGAATTAGATGAAGGTATATTTCTCTATTATATAACCTTTTCATGTGTGCAAGATCGAAGTTCTTTGACTTGTATGAAGGGTTGACCATGACCTGTTAAATCTTATACTTTTGTTTTACGCAGGTTAGAAATTTCTCCAATCTTTGTAAAATTGATAGTGTTAAATGAATAACTTTTAATGGATTTTTTTTGTGGCCATCCTGGAAGTCTGGGCAACATATGCTTTTCTTTTCCTTCTACAATCCTTCTTTGCTTCAAAAGATTATATAATGGCAGAAGGATATCTCACACCTACAATGTGCTTGAATTTCCATCTGGTTTATGAAACTGTAGTTTTGACGGAGCTCGATATACATATAAATTATATAACTCTGAATGTTAACATCTTTGTTATTATTCTCTCTTTTATTCTCTTCTAACTGTTGATAAATGATAATATATCTTGTCTCATTTACTTAGACAGTTCTATGGGTTTTCTTACTATCTAGAGTAACTGGCACTTAGTGTTTGAGGTTTTAGCATCAGCGCAATGTTATGGCTATTTGAGTAACTGATCCTGTGATTCAAATACTACTTATTTTTTACGCTTACTCGGCCAAGATATGAGCGTTTGATATTTTCATTTTAATGGACATAGATACTAATATGTCTTCGAGCTCAAGGCTGGGACATGTTGATAGGAATGCAGAAGTCACTTCTTGTGCGTTCTCTTCCAGTGATATATCGAGGAGTAGCAACTCCAGTAATGGGACTTTCCTACATACAAATTGGCAGGTACAAGGCTACCTATCAGAGCAAGCAGATGCTATTGAGAAGTGAGTGATTTTTCATCTTATTTTCTATAGATTGAGTTTAAATCTTGAATTATGGTTATCAAACTCGATAAAATCTTTTTCTGCGATCTCATTTCACAATCACTGGTTTTAATAGTTTTCTTTCTGTGGCAGGCGTGGAAGCTCCTTCCCGCACAATGCTTTTGAATCTATGCTAAAAAATCTTCAACAATTGGCACCCGAATTACATCGGGTGAGTTGCTTATGGGTCTAATACTAACTTGTTTATGATTTGAATGAAAATATATTTAGCTGGACTTTTGACAACATTTTGGTCTCCATCTCCAATTGCAGGTTCACTACTTAAATTATTTGAATAGCCTTCACCACGATGACTATCCGAGTGCATTGGAGAACCTTCACCGTTATTTTGATTATAGGTATGCATTGATGCATGTAGCTTTCATCTTGTTAATTTGCAACCATGAAAATTTGGTAATTATATTTCAGGAGAAGAGAAAAGCATATAGGCTCAATCAAACGTAAAGGGACTTTATGAGGAAGTAATTAATGAACGAGAAATGTATTCTTTTGTTTGGCTTAGGTCTAGTGAGAGGGAAAATGTAACTGGATCAATCCAAATAAGAGCATTTCTTGAGGGGACAAGAAAATGTAGCTGATACATCAACCATAGAATAATTTTCCGAATTGTGCTGATTTTTCTTTTTTAGATCACAATGAAATAATCTTATGTTGTTAACTGTTAACCTAAGTTCCAGATAGAGTATATAGGTTGATATTTCCACTGTGACCACAAGTACAGGGAAAAACGTATAATGGACACTAGGTATATTTGCATCCTATGTGGTATTCATGATGCAATTTAGAATGAAATAAATATTTTTTCTCATTCTTAAACTTTGTTAGTATTTGAAACTCATATAGTACCATATTAAATTATGGTCCCTTTTGTACCTATTGTTAAGCTCACATCGATACTACATAAAAAACTTGAATGCTTTATGTTATCGAACACCACTTTAGGTAGCTGATGATATCATACATCTAATGTTCAGCAAATTTACGGGTCCTCTTTAGTTTCTCATTCTAATGTTTTATCTATGCCAGATGTCTGAGAATCATTAATATTAAAAAATTCTGTAAATTTTGTCCTTTTGGTGCTGGATTTGTGTCAATTTAGCAAATACTGTTCAATGTTTTACATTCTTATAGTAGGTAACATATTTTTACTGAAGAGTGTGAATTTAATTGGATAAACTATAATGTTATCATCACCGCCTTTTCATATGGTAAAGTCTTCGTTGTCATGTATGACATTGCGACGAAGTTCACGTATGAACATTTACAATTTGATAACTCATCGTTTTGGAGTTGAATATTGGTATTCTCCCTATCCTTTTGACGATATCTTTTGGAAATCACCTTATATGGGTACTATTCATGATAAAGTGCAGGGACTGAAGGAATCGAAAGTGGACCCCCTGCATCTGGATCCAGTAGCTTTGGGAGATATGAAATTGCTTTGTTATGTTTAGGAATGATGCATTTTCATTTGGGGCACCCGAAGCAAGCTTTGGAAGTAAGCATATTGAGTTCAATCACCTCCACTCTGCTCATCTTCTGGTGTTCTCTTTCTTGTTGCCAACTGTTTTGGTTTGTCGGGAGTGTCGCATGCTGCAAATGATATTTTAAGGATCTATCCTTCTGATGGTGACAAAATGACTAATCCTTCTCTTCACATGTTCAGGTTTTAACTGAAGCAGTTCGAGTTTCTCAGCAGGTGCATATTCATATTTCAAAGTCTATTTTATTTATTCTCACATTTTTCTTTTGATGAACTGGAGTAGGTTATGCACTTTCCTATATTCTTAGGAATTTGGTCTATTATCCATCTCCAACCAACTGTTCTATTGTTTTAAAACGGAGAAGTAACATGATGTGCAAATCAAATGAACGGTGACACAGTTTGGTAACGTTTGTCTGAAACCAAATAGATGTTACTACCAAACTTATATTTTTGTTTGGAATTTAACCTAAACGGTAACTGGAACCAGTGTTAGTAAAAGACCAAACCTACGCCAAATGATTAACTTTGATTCAAATAAGCATAAGTTCTGTCATGATTGTTGTTGAAAATTTTGTTTTCAGTCTTTATATTTTTATAGGCTTAGATTGTCACCGTTAGGTTTCGCTTCAGTTGTCTCTTCCCTTTTGAGCATTAATTTAATATAATTAAATATTCATTATTAACTCAACATAAATTCCTAATTTATTTTAGCTTATGAAAGCATTCTTCTGATTTTCTGGTTTTGTCTAAATTGTGCAGTACAGTGATGACACATGCCTCGCATATACACTGGCGGCAATTTCTAACCTCTTGTCTGAAGTTGGAATATCAAAGACATCTGGAATTATTGGATCATCATACTGGCCTGTTGCTGGTATGGGCACTTCATTATCTGTACAACAACAGTTATTTGTGCTGCTACGGAGATCCTTAAAGAGGGCTGAAGGTCTAAAGTTGAAACGACTGGTGGCATCTATTCATCTTGAAATTGCTAAATATGAAATTACGGTGAGAATGTTTTTCATTTGTTGTTGTATAGGCTGTATTGCAAAAAAAAGTTCGGTATGTTTTTACTTGGTGTTTTAAATTTGATTGGATATTGGATAAATTCAAACAAACTATTATAGCCTGGGGTTCATCATTCATGTAATAGAATCAAAGGGCATTCTCTTTTCTTCATAACTCCACTCATTTATTGAGGTTGCATTTTTGTATTTGCAGCATGTTCAAAGACCACTACTTTCATTTGGCCCAAAGGCTTCAATGAAGCTTAGAACAAGCCCTGCCAATGTTTACAAGGTTCTATGCTTCAACCGATTCATGCTTAGTAAAACTCTTCAGTGGATTTTTTTTTTTTTTAAATACAAGAATAAGGTGCCCTCTTTTTTATATTGTCTTCATGTTTGCTGCAGGAGTTATGGTTGAGTTCTCGTCTAATTAATGAGTTTGGTGATGAAAGTTCTGTCATGACTGTTGATGGTGCTCTCTGCGCGTCATGGCTGAATAGTTTGAAGAAGCCAACAGGCTCATTAATTTTCACCCAAGAAAATGAAACCAGGAGCAATGACGCATTCCAGTTTTCTGCACAGCCAAGTTCAATTCCCGGATCAGTGTTACAGTTATTAGGGTCTTCTTATTTGGTTCGTGCTAGTTCTTGGGAGATGTATGGCAGGTGATCTATTGGATTCCCTACATATCATCAGTATTTCAAGTTACAGATAATTTTGCATTTCCTTTGATCAATGGCATGCATGTTCATTCGTGTATCTTTGTACCTTGTATGTGTATGTGATTTGCTTAGTTTCAAGTATGCTAATACACGTAATATTTAAATTATGCTGAGTCTTCATTTCCTACCGGGCCTTGTATTTAAATTATCCTTTCCACAATGGGCATTAACGATCTCTTCTTTTCAAGTATGATCTATGTGTTACAATTTCTTGCAGAAATGTGAACAGTGACTTGATTTTCCAAGTTTGTTTTTTCTACTTCATTGTGTTTTTAGCATTGTAACAATGTTAAATTAGTGAATAATGCTGAATTTTAGAGATTTATGTACAATTTTTAGTGTCTCTGTTATATAAAGTTATCTACAGTATATCATTACCATCCTATCGTTCTGTAACAAGCGATAATGACCATGCAGTGTCATTTCTCCATTTCTATGTGGATTCTCTCGTTTTATGCGATATCTTCAACTTTCTATTGCGATTTTCTCATATTTCTCCATCTCTTTGATCCAGTGCTCCTCTAGCTCGAATGAATGCGCTGGTTTATTCAACATGCTTTGCAGATTCGTCAAGGTAATTGCGACAACTGCCGGGCTCTATTAGCTGCTGCTGTTGCTGCTGCTATTTAATGCCTTTTTTCAACTGCTGCTCATATATCTAGTAATGACTGTCACACCATAAAAAAGACTATCATCTTGTTTTTTTGCAGTTTATCTGATGCTGCATTAGCATACTCCAAGCTCATCCAACATATGGCTGTCTATAAAGGATACAAAGGTTGGATAATTTGAATATTTTGATTATATCTATTTTTCTTTTCTGATGCCAATGAGGTGCACTGGTGTTATTGCTAGAATTACCACTTTTAGCTGTTTTGTCAAGGTTTAGTTTAATGTTTTAGTTTTATTAAATAATTGCCGTAATCTCTTAATTATTGGTTTATTTAAATGGAAGAACCAACTTTGCTGTCCTCTAATATCCTGAAAAAATATCATTTGTACAATTAGCTTGTTGGTTGTTTCTCTATCTCCCGGAAAGATTATTTACCTGAAAAAAAGGCAAGGTTACTGTTTAACGCAAAGCAATGATGAAAATGGAAGTTTGGTTTACATAAAGAAAAATCGCTGTCTGCGAATTGTATTCCATAACTAATCAAAGCTCCAGAAAAATAGTTGGTGTTTGAGTTTTTCTTTTTGCGTCTGATCATTTCTTCTTTTCACTAGGATGCCTTCGTGCTAATTTCTGATATGATTTTGTTGCAACCCCATCTCCACCACCCCCACCCCACCCCAACGACAAAATATTAGAATTGAGATTATCTTATCTCCCATCACGTGTTATTTTCCCAGGAAAACATGTGTACAAGCTTTCATGTACAGCTGTCGCTTCCTGTTGCTTATTCCATTCTATCTGTGTGTATCTGCAGATGCTTTTGCTGCACTGAAAATAGCAGAAGAGAAGTTCATGTGTGTTTCAAAGTCCAGAATCCTGATACTGAAACTACAGTTGCTGCATGACTGTGCTTTACATAGGTATAGTATAGTACGTTCAATATTAATTATCCAATGACTAATTACCACATAAAGATAGTTCACTCTTTACTTGGTTCTTGACTTCTCCTTCAGGGGACACTTAAAACTAGCTCAGCAATTCTGTAACGAGCTTGGGGTTTTGGCGTCTTCTGTAACTGGTGTTGACATGGAGCTAAAGACAGAAGCTAGTCTCCGTAATGCTCGAACATTACTTGCTGCAAACCAGTATACACAGGTTCAGTATTTTTTCTTCTTATTTTTATGGCTCATAAAATACACTAGGAATCTCGAATATGGTACTTGTTTTAGGCTTTTTGTTGGTGCTTCATAGTATGATACTATTTAAATGATAAATATCCTAATAAACTTGAAGACTGAGGCAAGATCTTAGTACAAGTGACCCCATTTACAAAAAATCCTAGTCCAAACCAAATCCTTCAAGATCGAGAGCAAAATCCTTAAATTAAACAATTTTACACTTTTATCATAATTGGTCTAGGATTGAGTTTGTTTTAGATAGGGTTTTGGAATTGGACAAATATTATGCTGCTGCATTTCCCCTTTGTCCATGTACGATTTTAGATTCCCAAAAGAAAATAAAAGGAAAAATGCAAATATTTTGTTACTTCCTGCATTCCTGTTGATTTGTTTGCAGTTTTCGTTCACAATAACATTTATTGTGTCATTCACGAAATAACATAAGCAGACCTGTATATCAGATTCCCTAGATATTTTTTTTTAATTTGTCTCTTATGTGAGTCGTTCTTGCAGGCAGCAGCTGTTGCACACTCTCTGTTCTGCACTTGTTACAAGTTTAACATGCAAGTTAAAAATGCCACTGTTCTTCTGTTGCTTGCTGAGATACACAAGGTATATACGATTTGGCGGTACTGGAACCCTTTAACAGCTTTCGTCTCGCTATAATGTAATGTAATAATGACCATGTAACCGACGCAGTTGATTGGGTTATCTGCTATGATAATTTCATCGACCATTTCATTTTAACTAACAAGTTATCATATGTTATGTAGCCCAATTAAACAGGTTATATGCATCAAACGTATTTTCTCTGTACAGCATTTGGTTTTTCAACCATCTCGAGTCATTTTCTTTTGCTGAAATTCATTTTGTTTTATGTTTTGTCCGTTTCAGAGATCAGGCAATGCTGTTTCAGGAATTCCTTATGCTTTGGCTAGCCTTTCCTTTTGTCAGTCATTTAACTTGGATCTTCTCAAAGCGTCTGCAACACTAATATTGGCCGAGTTATGGCTCTCTCTTGGATCAAATCATGCGAAAAAGGCTTTGGCCCTTTTACACAGTTCTTTTCCTATGCTTCTCGGTCATGGTGGTTTGGAGCTTCGTTCTCGAGCATTTATTACAGAAGCAAAATGCTATTTAGCAGACCCAAGCTTTTCAGGTATTTGAGCTAATGGCTTCCATTTGGCATTCGAAAACCAGGATGATTTGCGATCTGAAAGAAATTGAATTTAAATACTTTATAATCTATCAATTAAAAGGGTAGTTAGAAATCAGACACAAATAGATTTTGCAATAGCCGTTCTTTTCTGCTTTCCTCGTGGGTTCTCAGCACGTTTTTTTTTTTTTTCTCTCAATAGTTTCAGACAATCCAGAGATGGTGCTAGAACCTTTAAGACAAGCTTCAGAAGAACTTCAGCTCTTGGAGGTTGGTTACTAGTTATGTGAAGTTTACCAGAAGACAATTTAATAAATAAATAAAAAAAAAAAAAAACTAAGATTTTCTATTCACTGGCAACATCTCTGCCTCTGCCTTGATACGAAAGATTGAGATTCCAAAATATTCGATATTATAAGATTGACGTATTGCTTGTGCTACAGTGTCATGAATTAGCATCGGAAGCTTTCTACCTGATGGCCATTGTTTACGACAAGCTGGGGCAATTGGATGAGAGGGAAGAAGCTGCTTATTCTTTTAAGAAGCATATTACGGCATACGAGAATCCACAAGATACGGGTGATTCTTTCTTCAATATTTTGTCAAGTAAGTCCTAATAATCTTCAGATAAATACGTACAAAATATCGAGTTTGTAGTAACGGCATTATTTATAGGCGCTGTGGTGTCTGCATTGCATGTAATTATCATGTCGTATGAAGTTTTTTGTATTGTTTCTTCTTTGTGAACTATATATATAAATATGCACTAGCAGATAAGTTTGGTTTCTCTGATATGATAGGAATCACGTAATTCATGGTGTTTTACACTAAAGAACCGTGAATATCTGTGTGCATTTATCTGGGCTATAATTTCATGCATGTTTATTATTAGAATTAGGTTTGGCGTACACATGTGACTTCTTTTAAGTTTTATTTATTTGGTGGTGGAACTTTGATTTGTGTGGTAGTTGGTATAAATCTAAAAATCATTACATGATAAATATATATATGTAAATTACGGGTCACCCATGAGGTAAGGTCAAATTACGAAAAAACACCTCTTGTTTGGGTAATTACAAACACACCCCTCAACTATGAATCTTCTTACACGTTCGACCTTTATGGTGTCAAATTCAACGTAATCTCTTAGATCCCGTGGAATGTTCTAGTTTGTATTTGTTTTGTGCAAAATTGTAGTTTCTGATGCACCACCATCTGATATTTACAAGCTAAGAGACACATTTTATAATCATCTTTGTTTCAAAATGTGGAGCTCGAATTGGGGTAAAATGGATACAAACTGGAGAATATTCCACATAATCTAGAAAATTCCACTAAATTTGACACTGTAATGGTGGACGTGTAAGAAGTTTCATAGCTGAGGTGTGATTGTAATTATCCAAACAAGATGGGTAATTGTAAAAAAATTTTGCATAAAGATAATATAATAGATAATAGTGTATTAACTATTACGTATATGGTCCGGAACTAGTACCGTGTTTGGTTTGGTGACAAGATATATACAACTGATTAGATTGTGACATTTCTTCATGCTGCTTTTCTCCCTTTCTATTATTTTATTATTATCTACATATCCAATATATCGTACTATGTGTTATATGACTTGTACCTTTAATTATTTATTACCCTTTTCTGTTTTCTTTTTCTTCCTAAAATCCATGTCGAAATTGATTTCTAATTGATCATATATATCCACAAGTTACATGATGTGTGTACAACACATCCTATATATATCCAAGAACTTTGTCATATGTACTAAGGACTCTTTTGGTTGATTTGATTAGCTTTAAAATATTATTAATCACCTCTAAATTAAGTAAAAAAAAAAAGATTTTTAATGTAGTTAAATCATTATATTTACTATAAGAACAACAAAGAAAATCTCGTTGTATATATTTTATCGTTAAAGAAATAAAGTATAAACCAATTTAAATTGACAAGTTTAGAAAATAAAAACAAGGTTCCTTATGGTTAAACATAATTGATAATTCTATTAGAAATAAATGATGTATATTGTGCTGCTAATTCTATATAATGTGCATTCATTTTCCATATTCAATAATATTTCAATTTCCTTGTCACCTTTCTTGCAATAATGAAACTATATATCAATAAAAATAAATATATTAATATTACCTAATTAAATAGATTATATAATAATCAAATATCCATTCAAATTGGTGACCACTTAATTGGATACCCAACAAAACCAAGGTAGATGAATTTACTATTAAACCCTTGGAACAATACGAACAAACAAATCTCATTTACATGACCAGTAATTCTCTCTCTCTCTACTTTCTTCTCTCTCTAAATGCTCCACCTCACAACCACCACCACCACCACCACCACAGATTCCACCACCGTGGACTAACTCTAGCAGTAAAGGCAAAACCAACAAACTCACACCACCAAACAATGGGCAAAGAATCCTCCACCACCTCCGCCGCCGCCGCCGCAGCATCCGATTCCACATCTGCGCATGCAGAATTCAAGCTGGTAGGCTTCAAAAACTTCGTCCGAGCAAACCCCAGGTCCGACCACTTCCCCGTACACCGCTTCCACCACATTGAATTCTGGTGCGGCGACGCCACCAACACCGCCCGCCGCTTCTCCTGGGGCCTCGGCATGCCCCTCGTCGCCAAATCCGACCTCTCCACCGGTAACTCCGCCCACGCCTCCTACCTCCTCCGCTCCGGCCAACTCAACTTCCTCTTCACCGCCGCCTACTCCCCCTCAATCTCCTCCCCCTCCTCCGCCTCCATCCCCAGCTTCTCCCTCTCCGCCCACCGCTCCTTCACCTCCTCCCACGGCCTCGCCGTCCGCGCCGTCGCCATCCAGGTCGAATCCGCCTTCTCCGCCTACTCCGCCGCCGTCTCCCGCGGCGCCGTACCCATATCCCCTCCCGTCCTCCTCTCCGACAACAAAACCTCCATCGCCGAAGTCCATCTCTACGGAGACGCAGTGCTCCGATTCGTCAGTTACAACGACATCGAATCAGCTTCAAACGGCTTCTTCTTACCCGATTTCGAACCCTTGGACAACGCAATTTCATACCAAGATCTCGATTACGGAATCAGAAAACTCGACCACGCCGTGGGCAACGTACCCAAACTCGAACCAGCCGTAGATTACCTCAATAAGCTAACCGGCTTTCACGAATTCGCCGAATTCTCAGCCGAAGACGTCGGCACCGCCGACAGCGGCTTAAATTCTGTGGTTCTCGCGAACAACGACGAAAACGTTCTCCTCCCGTTAAACGAGCCCATTTTCGGCACAAAGCGAAAGAGCCAAATCCAGACGTATTTGGAGCACAACGAAGGCGCGGGTGTGCAGCATTTGGCATTAGTGAGCGAAGATATTTTTAAGACGCTTCGAGAAATGAGAAAGAGGAGTTGCATTGGAGGGTTCGATTTTATGCCCTCACCTCCGCCTACTTATTACAGGAACTTGAAGAGCAGGGCTGGAGATGTTTTGAGTGACGAACAGATCCAAGAGTGCGAGGAATTGGGGATCTTGGTCGATCGAGACGATCAAGGAACTTTGCTCCAGATTTTCACCAAGCCCGTCGGTGATAGGTAACGATTTCGAAACTTGCGAATTCGGTTAATTATTGTTTTTATCCCTTAATCTTGTGGTGGTTAATGTTAATGATGTTATTCGATAGTTAATTGTCCCTTGTGAAAGGTATCGTTCGGAACTTACGAGACCGGTTAATTAATTAATTATCCCTTAATCTTGTGATGGTTGAATATGTTAAAGATAGTTAATTGTTTCTTATGATGTTTGGGGATTTAGCTTCTTTGGCCTCGTTTGGGAATGTCTATACGATCAATCGATTTTGTTACAGTTACAATGTCGATAGGATTGATCGATTTTGTGTTTGGGGATTTAGCTTCTTTGGCCTCGTTGGGGAATGTCGATACGATTGATTGATTTTGTTGCAGTTACAACGTCGATAGGATTGATCGATTTTGTGTTTGGGATTTGTGATTTTACGATGTATTTGGGAAGTATCATGTGATAAAGGGGCTGAGTTTGGACTAATTATCTTCACATGCTCGATCGAAATACGAGCCCGTTTTTAAACGTTTGACAAATTTTTATTGACTTGAGATTGATGATAGTACGAATTTGTTATTTTTGTAGTATTGAAAAATTTTATAATTTTTTTTCTTCATCGAAGTTTAACTTTAGAAACTTGCGTAATGTTCTTGTGCAGGCCGACTATATTCATAGAGATAATTCAGCGTGTAGGTTGTATGCTGAAAGACGAGGAGGGAAAGACGTACCAGAAGGGTGGATGTGGAGGATTCGGAAAGGGGAATTTCTCCGAACTCTTTAAATCTATCGAAGAATATGAAAAAACACTCGAATCTGCAAAACAAGACTCTTGATTCTAAACAACTATATATATCTATCTATATCTGTATCTATATATATTTCGATCATATGTTGCTCTACTTAGTCGCAGTTATCGTTTTTTGTAATAATCACTTTGACGAACGACTTTGGCCGTTTGAATAAAATATATGATGATTTTATTTTAAATGTTTGAGGTATCTTTTTCAAGGGAGATCGCTGAAGTTTTTTTATGCGAAGAAAGATGAAATGTTTTCAGACTTTTATCTGTTGTATTTTATTAGTGAAGGAGCCAACGTAGTGTGAGGGGTTTGATAAAATTTATTTGCATCTGAAAATTGTATCATGTTTACCGAAAATGAAGTTTTCAATTGAGAGCTCGTGAGCAAGATGAGTCGGCTTGAAAAAGTTCAAACTCGAGTTTTTCGGTTTGAGCTCACGAGCTCTAGCTTTCTAACGAGTCGAACTCAATCTTTTTAGTCGTTCGTGAGCCTTAATTTTTTATTTTCTATATTATTTTTTATTTAAATAATGTTTAATATTATAGAAATATAATATAAAAAGAACATATAAATATCAAAATATATAGATATATTTGTAACTTTTTTATTATAATATAAATGATTTTTAATAATAAAAAATAATAATTATTATTAAAAAAAATCCAAAATGAGCTTGATGTCACGGCCCGCGAGTTTTGACCCAACCCCTTGCCGATTTCCCTTGAGTTGGGGAGGTTAAGAAGTCCATGAATTAGCCCAAGTAGGGTTAGGCCCAAGTTGGCCTAATTGTATAGTGGTAGGTAGAGCCATTTTTGGTAGGTAGAGGTAGGTGGTGGTAGGTAGAGACAATCAAGGGATTGTTCCACTCCCATCCGTTAGATCATATCGATCTCCACCGTCCATTGAGGATGTGGTCTTGTATAAATAGAGGTAGGGTCCTCATTTGTATTCATTCAAGAAATCCAACAATAAAGTACTCTTCTACCAACTCTCTTGTCTTCTTACTTTCTTTCTTCGTTTTCCATCACTTAAGTATTCGCAACACAATTTGGGAGAGGCTGACTTAGCTATCGCGAGAGGCGAGAAGGAGCTAAGGCCGCACGGTTCTTTGTTAAGGGAACAAGTCCGTGACAAGTGGTATCAGAGCCCGGCTAAGGGCTTTGTGTTGATCGAATTCTCAACGATGGCGAACGTCGAAGATATTTCGTACGTAACCGAGGGACGTGGCAGGGAGGCCCACGTAAACAACAAGAAGAAGAGGGACCACAGCAAGGCTCGTGGGGAGAGTACCGTTAACGAGGCCGTACTAACGGATCATGGTGAAAGACTCGAGAGGCTCGAGAATAACATCGCAATAGCGGAGCTTAGCGAACGATTCGAGAAGCTCGAGCACGATACGGGAGTGTTGGAGAATCACGTCGCCGAGCAACTCGATTTGTCTAGAGACAATGAAGCGTTGCGGGAGGAACGGTTGGATCGATTGGAGGCCATCATCCAATCCCTCCAAGAGAGCATCGAGGGGATGCGCGACGACTTGGCCTTGTGCAAAAAGGCCGCCGCTAACGGTAGCATTGGTGCTACTTCGAGTCCAAGGGTGGACTGCCCGAAGCCAACGGGATTCAACGGCGTAAGGGACGCCAAGGAAGTTGAGAACTTCCTATGGAGGATGGAGCACTACTTCGAGGGTATCGGTCTAGTCGACGAGACGACTAAGGTAAGAACTTCTTCCCTTTACCTTTCCGATACGGCAATGTTGTGGTGGCGTAGAAAGCACGCCGATATCGAGAAAGGCCTTTGCCGAATCGATACTTGGGAAGAGTTCAAGAGGGAACTCAAGCGACACTTCTACCCGGAGAACGTCGTCTATGAGGCTCGAAGGAAGTTGAGGGAACTCAAGCAACGAAGTTCAATCCGCGAGTACGTGACGGAGTTCACCACCCTCACCCTTCAAATTCCCAACCTTTCTGAGGAGGATCTCCTTTTCCACTTCACCGATGGGTTACAAGGCTGGGCCAAGCAAGAACTCCACCGACGAGACATCAAATCCGTCGATGAAGCTATTGCCGCCGCCGAGTCTTTAACCGAGTATCAACCGAGAGAGCCGTTGCGAAAAGAGAAGTGGAACCCGACTAAAGACGGAGGAGAGAGACGGGACAATCATGGTCGGGACTATCGAGACAACCGAGACCCAAGGCGAGCGTCAACCTCGAGGGGAGGAGACAAGCCATCCTCACGCCAACAACTTGAAGAGAAGAATAAGTCGTTTGTGCCTAAGGGAGGATGCTTCGTGTGCAAGGGGCCGCACGCGATGAGTCAATGTCCCAAGATGGGGTCATTGTCGGCACTCTTACAACAAGAGACCGAGCAAGACACAAACGAGGAGTTAGGCAACGTGGGATCGCTCCAACTTCTCAACGCCTTAAAGGCTAATCCGATGCCGGCAACATCAAGCAAGGGGCTGATGTACGTGGAGGCCCGCATCAACGGTACCTCAACAAAGGTGATGGTGGACACGGGAGCGACCCACAACTTCATCACCGAAGACGAGGCCAAGAGGGTTGGCCTACGGTGGGCAAGACGAGACGGTTGGCTCAAGGCCGTTAACGCTAAGGCACAACCGGTCAACGGTGTAGCACGAGACGCGGAGCTACACTTAGGCACTTGGAAGGGCCAAGTGGACTTTTCGGTAGCACCGATGGATGACTTCAAGGTGGTGCTAGGCATGGACTTCTTCCGCAAGGTAATGGCTATCCCGATGCCTTGTTTTAATTCAGTTTGTATCTTAGAGAAGGGGACACCTTGCATGGTGCCGGCCATCAACGGCACCACTAAGGAAGGAAGCACTCAACCAAGGCAACTGTCGGCCATGCAAGTTGCCAATGGAGTTCAACGGGGCGAGCCGGCATTCTTAGCCGCTTTAAAGGAGGAAAGCCCGCCCGTCAACAAAGAGGAGGACGTGCCACCGATCATCCAAACCGTCTTGGAGGTCAGCCAAGACGTGATGCCACCGAATTTACCCAACAAGCGTCCACCTAGGAGGGAGGTGGATCATGCCATCGAGTTGGAGCCGGGAGCCAAGCCACCCGCCATGGCTCCCTATCGCAAATCACCGCCGGAGCTCGAGGAACTCCGGAAGCAACCTAACGAGTTGGTCGGGACGGGGAAGACCCGACCATCGAAGGCAAGCGTTGTGGCCGACGCATTGAGTAGAAAAGCCGAACCCGCAGCGATTAGCTCGACAAGGGGGAACTTGGCCGACATGATCCGAGAAGGGCTCGAACATGATCCAATGACCAAGGAGCTAATTCGACTCGTCAAGGAGGGCAAGACGAGAAAATTTTGGGTAGAGGACGGCCTACTCTACACGAAGGGGCAGCGACTCTTCGTTCCGAAGTGGGGCAGCTTGAGGAAGGACCTCATAAAGGAATGCAACGACACCAAGTGGGCGGGGCATCCGGGCCAAATGAGGACAATGGCGTTGCTCGAGACGGCCTACTTTCGGCCTCACATGCGGGACGGTGTCGATGCATGTGTGAAGACTTGTCTTGTTTGCCAACAAGACAAGGTGGAGAATAAACAGCCGGCCGGGTTACTGGAGCCTTATGGAAGGGATTACCCGAGTCCGAGGCGACGTGAGAGACGAAGGAAGACTTGTGACAATTTCGAGATCGTCTCCACTTGTTCGAGGCAACGAGGACGTCGCCGGATTAGGCGGGGGAGGATGTCACGGCCCGCGAGTTTTGACCCAACCCCTTGCCGATTTCCCTTGAGTTGGGGAGGTTAAGAAGTCCATGAATTAGCCCAAGTAGGGTTAGGCCCAAGTTGGCCTAATTGTATAGTGGTAGGTAGAGCCATTTTTGGTAGGTAGAGGTAGGTGGTGGTAGGTAGAGACAATCAAGGGATTGTTCCACTCCCATCCGTTAGATCATATCGATCTCCACCGTCCATTGAGGAGGTGGTCTTGTATAAATAGAGGTAGGGTCCTCATTTGTATTCATTCAAGAAATCCAACAATAAAGTACTCTTCTACCAACTCTCTTGTCTTCTTACTTTCTTTCTTCGTTTTCCATCACTTAAGTATTCGCAACACAATTTGGGAGAGGCTGACTTAGCTATCGCGAGGGGCGAGAATGAGCTAAGGCCGCACGGTTCTTTGTTAAGGGAACAAGTCCGTGACATTGCGCTTGAGCTCGAGCCAAAAAGAAAGAAAGAAACTTTACGAGCTCAAGCCTACCAAAACAGGCGAGCTCGACTCGATCACACTCCTACAAAAAACTAGCTCATTCAATTGGTAAATTTGTCTCTGTAAATCCGTAAGGGTGGATGTGTAAGACAATATATACTTAAGAGGCAAATTATAATTACCAAAACATGATAGGAATTTTCGTAATTTAATGTTACTTGAGGGAGACAACACTAATTTATTTATTACCATATAAAAAGGAAGAGTGAAAAAGAAAAGCAAAGTTGCTACTAGGTAACATAAAAATCGCTACTTCCATTCGTACCCGTACACGTCACTTCGTCAGCTGCTTCAAACGACTCTACCTACAAAAAACTTCAACGTAGCAACAATTTTCTCGTTTGATTTTCGGAAGAAATTCATGAAAATCCATAGCTGAAACATAATCGAAAAAATTCTCTGAAATTTCATCGCAGTGTTTGTTGAATTGCGATGAGCGGTAACGAATTCCGGTTCTTCTTATCGTGCGATATTAATCTTCCTGCCACTTTCAAAATCGAGAGATTGGAAGGGAAATTGTCTCCGCTTCAGCCCCCTGATTCAGGTTTTTTTTTTTTTTTCAAATTTTATATTATTTTTGATGTTTCAATCAATTGTCAACTTTTGTATTTGTTGTTACTGCGGAATTGAAGTAAATTTATTTTTTTGGGAGATGAAGGGTTCTTATAGTATGTTGTGGTCTAGATTAAATTATTCAGTACATGGTGATATTTGAACTTTCTGGGTACTAGTGTTTATGGTCAATTTTATTGAATTGTTGATTGAGATGAGAATTTATGGTACTGTGTATTGATTGTTCAGCTGATGGTGATTGTACGGTAGAGGAGAGGAAGCCGGAGTTGTACGTTGAGTGCTTGTTGTATATCGATGGCGCACCTTTTGGGCTTCCCATGAGAACGAGGTTTTCAATTTTTTTTTAATTTTTTTTGTTTCGTTTTTGAAATGTTTTTCCTGATGTTTTTTTGGGTGATTGTGCATTGAGATGGTGTGAAAAAAATGTAGGTTGGAATCAGTAGGTCCATCATATTGTTGGAATGAACTTATAACGCTGAGTACTAAATATCGTGATTTGACAGCAAATTCACGGCTTGCTCTTACTGTAAGTATTCTACTGTGAATTCCATTTTGATCAAGTTTTTTTTTTTTTGGGGGGGTTTAAATTTCCATAAATTGTTGATTTCTATTGTGTATATAGGTTTATGATGTTTCATGTGGGAAAAACGAGGAAGTGGTTGGTGGGGCCACCATTCATCTGTTTAACATGAAAAAACAGCTCAAGAGTGGGAAGCATAAGCTTAGGCTTTGGGCGGGCAAAGAAGCGGATGGCTCTATAAACACAACTACCCCTGGGAAGGTATTAATATACAATTATTTGGTTCCGTCATACAGAATTTGTTTTGTCTTAGGGTTCAAGGTGTATTTATTGCCATGTTTTGGGTTATGATAGGTACCTAAAGACGAGAGAGGAGAATTAGAGCGTCTGGAAAAGCTTGTAAACAAGTATGAGAGAGGACAAATTCAAAGAGTTGATTGGCTGGATCGGCTTGCGTTCAAAGCGATGGAGAAAATTAAGGAACGTGAAAGCATAAAAAATGGAAGTTCTCATTTGTACATCATTGTTGATTTCTGCAGCTTTGAACATCGGGTGGTTTTCCAGGTGCTTTCGACATACTTGTAGTCTTTTCTTTATCCATTTAATGCTCTATAAATTTTGTGGATCCTTTGGTTGAGATTTCACGCGGTCTATCTATATTCCTACTTTTTTTTTTAATATGGAAAGACATGGGCTCATTGACACTGTCATTAATTAGTAAAAAATGCATCAAGTTCTGATTTTGTTTGATCCCAGTTCATTAATGTGGAAGTTAAGGTAAAAGGGTTGCAATTTCTTTTCTGGTCCAATTTTTGTATCCTCCTCATTAGGTTTGTGATTTTCCTATGAAGTTATGTATGCAGAAACATTTAGATTTTACTGTCTACATTATGTTTTTTTATACACGAACACCTTGAACTATTATCAGTTATTAAATTCATTTTGGATTCGGTTCTTGCAAGTTCTCGGTGCTGATAAACCAATTACATTATATCAGCAAATAATATATAAACACTTTGATATGGTTTCGTATGTTTCCTTTTCCCTTCTGTATTTCAAAATCATGTCCAATAGTTGAACATATTAAAGCATCTTTTTTTTCTACTGCATTAGGTACTGCAATCTGAGTTTTCAATTTTTTCTGCAGTTATCTGTACTTGATATTTGGGAATTCAATCTAGAATTGTGATCATATTTTCCTGGAATCCTGTTAAACTAGTAGTATTGTTTTTATAATTGGATGCCCATAGAGTTTAAAGATAATATTGCATGGATGTATAGGAGTCTGGAGCAAATTTCTTGATTCCATCCCCAATAGCTTCAACAAATGAACTGGTTACAGTATGGGACCCTGAAGTGGGAAAAATTAACCCCTCTGAGCACAAGCAACTAAAGCTGGCAAGAAGTTTGAATCGTGGCATAATTGACAAAGATCTTAAACCCAGCATTACAGAAAGGAAGTAAGCTTTATTATAATCTGACCTTAAGCCTTCTTTTCTAATATGTTGCATTACTCTTATAATTTATATTACATTGTTTAACATGCTTGTCTGTCTTGTAGTCTGCTAAAATGTGCCCAATTGTGTAATAAGTTTATATATGCACAGCAGCACAGGCTTGCCAGCTGACTGAGAAAGATAAAAATGAAACTACAATTGTTTGATCTCTTCTTCTTTGATCCTGAAATCAGTTTATGAAAAACTAAGAATGCCAATTGTGAAGGATTGAATGTGTACTGGTTTCTATTATTTTTCCATACAATTTCTTGTTCAGTTCCATTACTAGCAATCTACAAAATCAGGGAAGTCGAAGATTTTTTTTTTCTTTTCTAGTGTGGCAAATGTTATCCAATCTATGAGACTATATAGTCTGTTTTAATCATTTGCATCCAACTTTCTTCATATAAGCTGAAACTCTGTATATAATTCTTCATCACATGTCATTACTTGAACAAACTTTACATACTGTTGAATGGTTCACTATTTCGCTACTCAGCTAGCCTGTCTGATATGCGACAGGTCTATACAAAGGATATTAAGATATCCACCGACAAGGACTTTGACTGGAGAGGAGAAGCAGCTCCTCTGGAAATTTCGTTTCTCATTGATGTCTGAGAAAAGGGCTCTGACAAAATTCTTGCGTTGTGTTGAATGGAGTGATGTTCAGGTAAAACTTTGGTAAATTTCAGGTGCAAAACATCCTAATCACAATCTTTATGTGTTGAACATTTTATTGTTTTCTGCTTGTAAGAATTAATAATATTGTACAAGCTGTTTTCTGCATTGCTTTCCTTGCGATTATACACCAGATATCTCACTCTAGCTCTACATCCCTACTTAAAAAATTCTCAAATTATGAGCATTAAAAAAGAGTAAGGATTCCAGAGGGTTATCTGAATTATGTTAAGCAAAACCTGAATGATGGAATAAATTATTAGTTGGGAAGTTTCTTTCATCATGTCGAGTATACCTTGTTGTTTTTTCAATCCTCGTTCTAGCTCTTTGGAGAGCTAGATTCAATCCCTTGTCTCTTTCTTTCTGTTTTCTCAACTTACTGGGAGAACCCCTCAATTTACGTTCTTCTTACATTTTCTCGATTCATTTTAATCTCCTTTTTCCGCATTCCGTTTTTAACAATCTTACATAGCACATTAACAATTTATGATAATTGTCTACAGGAAGCTAAGCAGGCATTAGAACTGATGGGCAAGTGGCAGACAATTGATGTTTCTGATGCACTAGAGCTTCTATCTCCAGTTTTTGAGAGTGAAGAGGTTAATTGTCTATACCTGTTTGCATTTTTTTATGTTTTCCTATGCATAACCTAGAACTTTTCTGTAGATTATCTTTCAATAATCTAGCTTAAATACTTCCATGCCATCTACACAACATAGTTCGACTAACTAATGTTTTCAAAATCGAATTATTGATCAACCCAATCTGGGTAAATTTAGTTGTTCAACTTGTAAGAAAATGGCTGAAAGTAGTACTAAACAGTGTGCTAAAATTTTATCAGTTGGAAGTTGGTTGCACAATCCTAGAGATATCTATGGTGAATTTGATCTTCACATTCTCTTTCTGGTTATTTTTCTTTGGATTGAGTTGCATTCTCATGATATATCAAGAGCAAAACATTGGCAGCTGCTTTCTGTAAGAAACATATACCAAATAGCTCTTTCTTGTGGGCTGATGCATCATATATTTTCGAACTTCTTTATTGGTGGTTCAAGTTTACAAGCCATTGTGTGTCAGCTCTCTTTTTTTTGGATTTAAAATGCTATCATTACAGTAAGTCAACTGGCTTATCACTAATTATGAACCTCTTTTACAGGTCCGAGCATATGCTGTAAGCGTTCTTGAAAGAGCTGATGATGAAGAGCTCCAGTGCTACCTACTTCAGTTGGTTCAAGCTCTTCGTTTTGAACGTTCTGACAAGTCTCGCCTTAGTCATTTCCTTGTACAACGATGTAAGCTTGACCCGAAAAAGAATATAATTCTCTGAATAGTTGTGAGAATTTGTAACTTATTTAGGCTCATTTGAATCCTTTTCTCATTCCGCAGCGTTATGCAATATTGAATTGGCTAGCTTTCTGCGGTGGTATGTAGCAGTGGAACTCCAAGATCCTGTATATGCAATACGTTTTTATAGCACATATGAGATGTTGCAAGAAAGTATGTTACAGGTTTGGGATTTTCGTTCTCTCTCTCTTGCTCATAATTTTATGATATTTATACTGTTTTGTTGATAGCCATGAACCTCTAGATGGCGAATCAAAACACCGATCTTTTTGATATAAAGTTGAATTGTGTTCAGGTTGAGATCATTAGGTATTTTTAAGGATATATCGAGGACCTGAATGATCTGATCCTGTGCTTTCTGTTCTTGATGAATATAACTACTAGTTTCAATTAAACTTGTTTTGGAATTTCATGTCCTCAACCTGTTATCTGTTTGTCTTCGAGTTGTCGGGCTTGGGAGAAGTCTCATACTGAAGGTTCTGTATTATCACCAAAAAAAATGAAAAAGAAAGAGAGAAAAACAGCCAGTAGTTCTTGTGCTAATGTAGGGCTTTTACTGTTATCTCTGGGTTTCGTTCTTTCTTCTCCTTTCTTGGGCTATAATAGGTGTTGACTGACTGATGCATTATATCAGCTGGGGCCCGCTACAAGTGGTGGTGAAGACGGTGTTGAGCTTTGGCAGAGTTTGGTGCGTCAGACAGAATTGACCGCACAGCTGTGTTCAATAATGAGAGATGTAAGAAATGTAAGGGGCGGAACCCAAAAGAAGATCGAAAAACTTAGGCATCTTTTAACCGGGCTTCTTAGTGAACTTACCTACTTTGGTGAGGTACTTGCAAACATGGCAATTTTCCATCTTATGTTTTTTCTGACTACAAATAGTTAGTGTTTATTATTGCTAGATTTATAAAAATAAAAAAATCTATTTTTTCAGCCAAGAAGATCACCTTTGGCACCGAAGGTCCTTATAACAGGGATCATACCATCAGAATCATCAATCTTCAAAAGTGCATTGCATCCATTGCGTCTTTCTTTTCGAACAGCAAGTGGAGGAAGCTGTAAGGTCATATTTAAGAAGGGAGATGATCTTAGGCAAGACCAGTTGGTAGGTGTCTATTATTTGCCGCGCTATTGATTTAAAAAGTGATTTTTATTTTTATTTTTCAGATGTGTAATGTGACAAGTTAAACTCAGGTTGTTCAAATGGTATCATTAATGGATCGTTTGCTCAAGCTGGAGAATTTAGACCTGCATTTAACTCCCTACATAGTGTTAGCAACAGGGCATGATGAAGGCATGCTGGAATTCATTCCGTCCAAATCTTTAGCGCAGGTAATTTACTATCCTATTGCTTGGATTTTGGAATACCGAACAATTGAATTTATATAGAATCGAACTTAACCTTTGAACTTCCAGATTCTGTCGGAACATCGAAGTATTACAAGCTACCTGCAAAAGTTTCACCAAGATGATAACGAACCTTTTGGAATAACTGCAACATGTCTGGACACTTTCATAAAAAGTTGTGCTGGCTACTCAGTTATCACGTATATACTGGGCATCGGTGACAGGTGACAATCAGTTGAAATCTAGTTTTCTCAAACTTACTATGTTCTTTTTTTGATGCATTAGTAGCATTAACCATCTTTATAACTTTATATTTGGGATGACAAAGTTATTGATTACTTAATTTGTATATGTGTGATGAGACGAGTACAGAATGATTTTTTGTTGTTTTTTTTAGCCTGTCATTTCAGCAACTGATTTTGATGACATTTACGAACGAAGCATTTATTTATCTTCTTGGTCCACAGGCACCTTGATAATCTGCTGCTACAAGATGATGGTCGCCTATTTCATGTTGATTTTGGTTTTATACTTGGTCGGGATCCAAAGCCTTTCCCACCACCTATGAAACTTTGTAAAGAAATGGTTGAAGCTATGGGTGGAGCAGAAAGGTATTTGACACATCTAAGATAACTTCTAATCGGCTTTCTTTGCTCTTCATACGCGTTTATGTCTAATACTATACGAGCTAAAATATTTTTGGAACAAGATAAAGAAATCAGCTGTTAATTCGTAGCATAATTTCTCACTTCTATTCCTCTCTTTCATTGCAGTCAATACTACACGAGATTCAAATCCTACTGCTGTGAAGCTTACAACATTCTCAGAAAATCGAGCAATCTAATATTAAATCTGTTTCACTTAATGGCCGGTTCGAACATTCCTGACATAGCTTCTGATCCTGAAAAAGGCATCCTTAAGGTGAAATTTCCATGAATAATTTATATATAACCACCTTTCGATTTCTATTTTCACCCTCTTAATTATTACATGTTCATTTTTCGTGTAGCTTCAAGAAAAGTTCCGTCTGGACTTGGATGATGAGGAGTCGATACAGTTTTTCCAGGATCTTATCAATGAGAGTGTCAGTGCATTATTCCCGCAAATGGTGGAAACCATCCATCGATGGGCACAATATTGGCGGTGATTAAACGCATTCGGTGTAGAAATTTCAGGTGGGCGGAACAATTTTATTTTTCTTGTATTTATGATATAATATTAGCAAATCCTCGTTCCTTCAAATTAAACTTGAACCGTTTCTTTTAAGATGACCGACTTATGATTCTTTGCCAATTGGAGCCCGAAGAAAAAGACGTACCATTTAGTTAACATTGTATATAAATTGCAACATGACTTGTTAATGGCTTTGTATATAACTTAATTTTAGAGATGATTCGGACTTGTTTTGATTAGCTCTATTCTTTGGACTTGTTTTACATATGTTAGATTAATAATATTTAGATAGAATTAATTGTATTCATTTTGTACTAACTAATTAGCTAGTAAAGTCCAATCCTTTAATACTAACCAAATTCTTGTAAATCGCCCTATTCGTATTGCTCTTTAAGTTCGACGAAATAAAGTATAATAACAATACAAAGAGACAGAGAAAGAATACAATAATTATGAGTGCATCTTTGTTATAAATAGAAGCGATTTCATTTTATATAGATGCAAAAACAAGAGAAAGAACTGCGACTAAATGGAAATTTAATTACATTCATGAAACGAGTTAGAAAACAGAAATAACGATTAAATTCCTCTGTTTTCGTTTAAACGAGGATTTCGTCGGGCCTGATACATAGTGGAATCACTCAATTATCCAACTTGTGATACACCATTGCAGTAGTTGACACCATTACTATTACTTCTACTATTATTGTTGTTATTATTATTGTGACTATACTGCCCCCCATTTTTGTTCATATTTACCTGATTTAGTCCCCAAATACGTATTGTACGGTCATCACTTGCAGAAGCCAGCATATACGGATTTACGGGGTTCCAGCTAACACAGTTAACCGTTGCAGAATGTCCAGCTAGTGTCAATATTAGCTCCTTTGAGAGCCTGTGCCATATATAAACCTACAACAAATATAAAAAAAAAACTCAAATGAAAAACCGAACAATAAGTGAAATCGGGTGCGATTGACGGAACCACATTTGTACTCCCTCCTTCCCGTATTAATTGTCACTTGTGTTTGTACGCACAGATTAAGAAACTCAATAAATGTGCATGGATTGTAACAAACGACATAAAAATTAATAAAATACCCATACCGTTAATTGATTTTCAACTAATTATCTTTCGATTAATTCAGAGAGATGAAGGGCAAAATTGAAAAAGAGTGGAATTAATGATTCATTGGAATTGTAAGATGACAAAATTACCTGTGAGTCTTCACTTCCACTGGCAATAAATGCTTGCTCCAATCCACCGAAACAAGACCTCACAACAAAACGACTTCGTTTGTGACCTTTGTATTTAGCTACGAGTTTGGTGCAGCCATCTATATTCCAAACATGAAGTTCTTCATTCAATAAACTAACAAGCAAAAACTTCTTATCTTCCGAAAGTGCAAACGAAATTATCGGATGATCCTCCACTATAATTTTCTCGGATTTCGTTTCCCAACCAAACAAGAGTATAATTGTTTCTTTACAAACTGTTATAAGCTCTTTCCCATCTGTAGTAATCCCTATGTCTGCAATCATAGTAGTCTTCTGCCCTCTCCAGCATTTTAACTCTTTTCCTTCAAGATCCCACATGCTGATGCTTTTATCGGAAACGCCAGAGAATATACTCCTACCATCCGGGGCCCACGTACAAGAGACAAGACCGAGACCTCTTTTTTCGTATGTATGTAAGCATTCACCTGAGCCAATATCCCATCGTCTAATAGCCTCCTCTACTCCACATGTTAGAAGCTGATTGTTATCGGGGCTCCATGAAATATATGAGACGGGTTTTTTGTGACCGGATAATTTATGTTTTAAAGAAACGTGACCATCAGCCATAACCTAAGAAAAAGCAAAACAACCATCACTGTCATTTTTGCAATTAAACATAGGCTCAACTGATTTACATGCTTGTCTTACTATATTTGTTTATCATAAGCACAGCTGAGAATATAAAATTTGCATTTGACAAATATTGAGCATTATTTCCACAACGTAAAGAGCTTGTAACAAAATGTTCACACATCGATAAAATTGTAGAGCACCTACAAAGTGTTCTGGAAACTAGTTCAACGTGAAATGCTTAAAAGAATAGTATCAAAAATTGCATCCAAGGACCAAAGATATATTGGTATTTCGGCGGTTGACAGCTGTATATAAAATGATGAATACTCATATACAGATGAATTTACCATAATGGCTGCTAATTATAAGAGATCACGAACACTAAATAAAACTTAAACCAATTAGCAAGTAAAATGAAAGAAAAGGCAGTATTACCTCCCATATAATCACAAGGCAATCGCCAGATGAAGATGCCAAGTATTTCCCATTGTGTGAAAATTGCAAGAACCAGACTTCGTCATTGTGTTCTTGTAGTATCTATAGGGTCCAAAAACGAACAGAAGAAATCGTAAATGGTCGCAGTAATAATAGAATAGTAACTTTTGAGAAGATACTCTGCGGCATTTCAATGATTTCTACAGAAATGTGAACATTTTCAAGATTACATAATTAAGGTTCATTATGAACAGAGGGTTTATCGGGCTAATAGGTCAAACAGATTTCCAGTCTCAGATTTTTTTCGTTTGACCTTATTTAGGAAAAGAATCACTAAAAGATTCTAAAATCACAACAATGGATTTTATCATAATCAAAAAGGACAAAAGCATAACTAAAAGAACGGGTTTAAATGGCATTACACATTTCAAGTAATACCTCATTATCTAGTGAAGAATCATGTAATTACTCGAAAGTTACACTGTTCAAATACCTAAACAAATAGTGAAAATAATCCTAGTTTACCTATTGTTGTCCTTTTACAACCAATTGCAATCTGCAAATCAATGCAATGCAATTGAATCAACGAAAATATATCAATCCGAAACTTGATATAAACACCACGCCCTTCTCAGATCATCTCCCAAGAATCCAGGTCAAACTCTAGAATTAGGTGACGTTTTTTGATACAATTTCATAAGATTCAGTGTTTTGTTGGCATGAGTTTCATAAGTTCCTTTTTGTGAACCCATCCGACAACTCATAAAAAGACAACGTAGTTTACAACATTACTTGGCAAATAAATGGGACGAAGCCCACAATGCTAACATAGTTCAGATTTTACGAGCAATACGGAACTTTGCGTTAGACAAAATTGAGTTTCTCTTTTTGTTGTTTTTATTTTCTGTTTCTAGTAACTTTCTTTATTAGTCTTCTTTATCAGCCACTAGTACTAATCCCGACTAACGTTAAAAACGGCATTTACATATATAAGTACTCAGGAGTATAATGAAAGACCGTATTGATTTTACCACTATGTTAGTACCGATAAGCAGTTTAAGCTTCTCCAACAACTGCAAACAACAAAAAGATTAATATTACCTGCGACGTCTGACAAGGAATATGGTCACATCCACACTTATGATCAGTGAGCAATGACATTTTCCCAACTTCGCAATTATGAAACTTACAAGCGTCCTTTTGCAAGAGAAACGCCTGTTCGACAAGATGCACCAATCTCTTTTCCGGAATCATCACAGCTGGAGGAAGCAACTTCCGCAATTCCTCCAGCAACTTTTTACGAGACCCGAGTCTCGACTCTTTACCGAAAGATCCATCAAATAAATTTCTCGAGGGAGATATAATGAAGGAAGAAAGAACTCGAACTCTCTCATCATTTATCGAAAGAGGAACAATCTCGGTCCTCAGAGTCTTCCAAGCATCAATAATTTTTTCTCGCTCCAAAAGTTCAAAGAATTTCTGCTCCAATATTATAAAAGATGCCGACTTGATTACTGTTTCGTCTAAACCAATTTCATGCAACATTGAAACACTTTTATCCCATTGACCTTCTACAATTTGACGCATAAACATATCTACTACAGGGGTGTGCAACGGAATTCCCGACTCCTCCTCTAGACGAGCCCCTGTCTCGGAATAGCCAAGAGAGTACAATGCCTCGGCCAGAATTCGAACAAGTTCAGTTTTATTTACGACACCTTTTGAGCCAATGGCCTCAACGTTATCTCCTTGAGACGATAACTGCCTAGCCATTGAGAAACTATCCGATAAACCGTTGGAAAAACCTCCCGATTCTCCAGACATAACTTTCACACGTTTCGACAGTGGTTCATCATCATCCTCTAAACCTCCCATGAAAAGTCTACTTCAGCCCATATATTTAAAACCACAGCAAAAATCAAGGATCTTTCTCGGCAAATATGCGATAAAATCACGTGTAGAATTCTGTAAATACAAAATAAAAACATGGATATAAACAATGCAGCAAGCATAAAGAGAACACAATTAAAGAAACCCATTAATTAGTTCACTTTAAAAAATTCGAATTTCTTTTTTTGGGGGAAATAAATCATCTGGTTCGAATTAACCAGCAGTATCAATCAAACAAAGTAAAACCCACTGTTAGAGAAGAACGCAAACCAATCAGACTGAACAAAAAAAATACAATGAGAAACTTAAGAACTGAAAATCGGAAACCGATTACCGGGGCTCCATTTCGGATCCAAAAACACCCGGTAAAATCCAATCGGAGCAAATAGAAATTCCGGCGGTAATCAAATCAAACTAGGGTATTAAACAAACTCACATGAAATTAAATTGAGAGCGCCGATTGAAGCAAGCGCGATGAAGAAGCGGTAGAGCCGAAAAAGGATTAATGGAAGGTTCAATATAATGGAAGGATCATGGATTTGGATCCGACCCGGAAAATGGGTATTTGCCCCATATTAATATAATTGGCGAAATTATAGTTTTCACCCCTCAAGTTTACACTAATTCCACATTTGGTCTCCTATGTTAAGAAAAATATATTTAGTACCTCATGTTCCAATAATTTAACACTTTTTGCCATTGTCGTCAATTCACCGTTAGTTAAGGCAGTAACGGGCAGACGCTTGATTTTGTCAGTTTTAACGGAAAATTGACGGGCATGACTAAAAGTGTTGAATTTTGGAAACATAAGGGACCAAATATTTTTTTTTGTGAACATGGGTGAGCCAAATGTGGAATCCGTGCAAACTTGAGGGACGAAAACTGTATATTTGTAAAAGTGGCAAAATGCACTTCACCCCGTGAAATTTTAATATGTCACATTAAACCACCTACAAATATATAAATGAAACAAAGCCCCCTTAAAATGTATGAAATAGTTTGCACGTTTGCCCTAGTAATGTATCTTATTAAATATTATTAAAATATATTAATAATTATCACATATAATATATTTGCAGGTGGTTTAGTGTAAATATTTATTAGCTTGAGTGTAGTATAAATTAGTTACATTATACATCACCAAATATTACATCTACAAAATGTTAATAGTATTTGTAATTGTTCATTTTTAAATTAAATTTTATAATGTATACTATAAATACAAATTTAAGTTTATCTAATTAATCACATATAATAGTAAATCTACAATATTTAATTAGTAGAAAATATATTAATATTTTTTTGGATTAATGTAACTTATTCTTCCAATTGCATATAATGTAATTAAGAGGATATATTATTATTTTTTTCTCTTCTTTTTTAGTTTGTTGGCAAAAAAAAAAAAGGAAATTTATTGTACAATTGTTGTTGAAGTATAGAGGGGCCTCGTAAAAACCTTATGAATACACGAGGAAACAAAAAAATAATTAATCCTAGGGTCCATAGTGCACCTAATAATCTAAATTAATTAGAGTTCTTAATTATTTTACTATTCATTTAATTATTTCTATATAGTATAATATTAATTAGTCCCGGCGGGGCTTGAACCCGCGACCTTCGGCTCATAAGACCAACGCTCTAACCAACTGAGCTACGGGACTAATTTATGTATTTTTCTTTTACTTTTGTATTAATAAAATATTCATACCTATTTATTTATAATCATTAGTATTGAATCTATTGATATATGATTTAATTAAATATTAAAATTTATTTTATTGTTATGAGTTTTATAGCATATTTTTATTCATATTTATTATCAATTATATTTAACTAAATACGTATAAATTTAATATTAAAATTAAAATAATCACTAATCAACCCTTAGTAATTAATCAAATTGAACAACATTCTTGAGTAAAATATAAAAATTGGGTAACCTATAATCAATTTTATTTTTTCAATGGGCTTTCTCTATTTTTGTGTTTGTATGGGTGCTTAGTAATAATTAAAAACTTTGAGGGGTAAGGTGCAGCTACATCATTTAATTTGAACTTGAGATAACAAATATGGCATTTTTAGATGTATATATAAGAAATCATATAAAATATACTAAGATTAGCTAATAATTTATTTAAAAACATTTACCCATTTTAATTGAAAATTAATTTTTTTTTTTATTTTAGTAAAGCAAGAAGTATATCATAGTTAGTTTATATATGCATGGCTTATTTTGCCTTCTTGTGAATTTTTTTTTGGACGACTTAAGCTCTAATAAAAATAATTAGATTTTATTAAATTATTTAATGTTTTCTCGGCTAGCTTTATCTTACCTTAGTGTTATATAAGGAATGTAGAGATTGCTAGAAGGAATTATTTTAAGGGTAAATTACAAACACTCCCCTGAGGTATGGTCAAATTACAAAAACACCCCTCTTGTTTGGATAATTACAACCACCCCCTCAGCTCTTCAAATTTAGTGGAATCTTCGAGATTATATGAAATATTATCACTTTTGTACCCATTTTATACTATTCAAACTCTACATTATGAAGTAAGATGATCATAATATGTGATTTTTAGCTTGTGTATATCAGTTTGTGGTGCATCGAAAACTGTATTTTTACACAAAACGAATACAACTAGAGCACATTCCACGGAATCTAGATGATTGTATTGAATTTGGCACAATAAGGGTGGATGTGTAAGAAAAAATCATAGTTGAGGGGGGTAGATGTAATTATCCAAACAAGAGGGGGGTTTTTGTAATTTGACCATACCTCAGGGGGTGTTTGTAATTTACCCTTATTTTAATTGTTTTATTTATTAATTTAATTTTATTTTATTTTAATTAAATTATTTTGACAAAGTCAAAGTAGGCTAGGCCAAAAAATAATAGTCCACAGCTTATGGTGGGTGGTAGCAGATCTACATCAATAAAAATATTAAAATATTAATATTAATAATATTAAAATATTGATATTTATTCTCTAGTAGAAGTATGCACCGCTAGTGCGTACGTTAGAGATAGCCGGCAGTCAAAAACCCAGTCATCACCGACGGCGCATTTTAGCAACAGATCTTATAATTCCGCCATTATTACTTCCCAATTTTCTATACTAGAAGCTCCCACTTCTCTCTCTCTCTCTCTACACTGAAGAACACTGAAAACAAAGTCCGAAGAGAGAGAAAAATGCCACTGAGCTGACGATCTTCCTTCTCCTCTCACTGCATGAAGTCGTAGTCTCCACCTGCATCTACATACAGATCTTCGTATATATATATATATATACACACACCAATCAGATCTAATTCAGCTCCAGGTTTTCCTCCCCCCATTGTTTGGACTCCAATTTCGCTCAATTTGAAGCTTATTTTCATAGTTTCTGCGCTTAATTTTAATTTCTGTAATCTAATTTCCATTTTTGCTGTTTTTTTTGGGGGTTTTATTACAGTATTAATTAAGGATAGTAAGAAAGGAAAATGTTGGGACGGCCGTCGTTTTCGCTGTCCAGAAACGGAAGTTTCAGGGCAGAAAACCTAGGCCAGAATGCTTTGGCATTGATCGGAAACCTCTGTTTCACTATGTTCGTAGTTGGGGTTTTGGTTTTCACCATAATAGCCGCCACTTACCAACCAGAAGACCCATTGTTCCACCCTTCCTCAAAGATGACAAATTTCCTCACATCGAACTCAAACGCCACCTTCAAATCCGACACCGGAGTGGTGAAAACCGGAGAGGATTTCGTCGCCTCCAATCAAACCGCATTCGCCACCTTCATAAACATAACCGATGTCGATGCAGCGGCACTGCCCACCGAAGGGGGCGAGGGGGCCGAAACCACCCTCGAGGAGGGGGCCGTTTGCAATACCGAGGGGCCCATCAACTGCCGTGATCCGGATGTTTTCCATCTCTTGATGAGGTCAGCGATCGAGAAATTTAAGGATATCCATTTCTACCGATTCGGAAAGCCCGTGCAAGGCGATAACGACAGCTCTTGCCACATGGCGTGGAGGTTTAGGCCTAAAGAAGGAAAGGCGGCTGCTTTTTACAAAGACTATCGGAGTTTTACCCTCGAGAAATCCGATAATTGCACGCTTAGTGTAAGTGGGATCGGTGAGTATCACTCGGGTGGGAAAGCTAGAAAGAGAAAGGGGAAAGGGAGGGGAAAGAATAGGGAGAAGGATAAAGAGGTTTTCGAGAAGGTTCCGACGAAAGTTGATGATAACCCTATTGCCCTACCGGATGTTGGAGAAACTGTGGAAGATGCTCTTCCGATTGTGGAATCGGAGGGCTCGTTTGGCCGTGGGAAGTATTTGATATACTCGGACGGTGGAGATAGGTGCAAGAGCATGCATCAATATCTATGGAGTTTCACTTGTATGTTGGGGGAGGCGCAGTATTTGAACCGAACACTCGTTATGGATTTGAGCGTTTGTTTGTCTAAAATGTACACTTCGTCGGGGCAAGATGAGGAAGGCAAAGATTTCAGGTACTACTTCGACTTCGAGCACTTGATGGACTCGGCATCGGTTCTTGATCAGAAGCAGTTTTGGTCCGATTGGAACAAATGGCAGAAAAAAAACGGATTAAATCTCCACCTCGTCGAGGATTTTAGGGTCACCCCGATGAATCTTGCTAAAGTGGACGACACTTTGATTGTGAGGAAATTTGGAGATGTGGAGCCCGATAATTACTGGTACCGAGTTTGTGAAGGGGAGGCAGAATCGGCTGTGGAAAGGCCTTGGAATATGGTGTGGAAATCGAGAAGGTTGTTGGATATTGCTTCGGCTATTGCATCGAGAATGAGTTGGGATTTCGATTCCGTTCACATCGAGAGAGGGGAGAAGGCGAGTAACAAGGAGCTTTGGCCGAATCTTGATAAAGACACTTCTCCAGAGGCACTTTTGTCGACTTTGAAGTACAAAATCGAAGATGGGAGGAATGTGTACGTGGCAACGAACGAGCCGGAAATCTCCTTCTTCGACCCTTTGAAGGATAAGTACTCGTTACACTTTCTTGATGAGTATAAAGATTTGTGGGATTCGAACAGTGATTGGTATTCCGAGACGACTAAGCTGAACAATGGAGTCGGGGTTGACTTTGATGGTTACATGAGGATATCCGTCGACACCGAAGTTTTCTTGAGGGGGAAGAAGCAGATTGAGACTTTTAATGATCTCACAAAGGATTGCAAAGATGGGGTCAATACATGCACTTCTACCAGTTAGTTTTTTACGTATAAAGGGCATTTTCGTAATCTTCCGTACACGTCGATGCTAGTTTGAGGTAACCGCCCTATGTCCCGTTTGTGTTGCTTTTTCAAGAAGTTTATTTATTTCTTTCTTTGATTATGGTAAGTTTTATTTAAGAAGCTCTTTGTTTTAGAAAGAAACAGATAGATTTGTTTCATTTGTTTGGTATCTTTATAAACTGAACTAATTTCCAATTGTGCTGCCAGTTTTTACTTTCGATGTATCGGGTCTTGCTTTGCACCATCCGAATTTTCATTAGCAAAGTTTATATTTCGTCGCCCTTTATTTCGTTTTCGTTAGATGTTGTTATTTTTTGTTGTAGCTGCTATGATTTTCTGGGCACAGGATTTAGTTATCTTGATGTCTATACATATGTGATATGTGTATATAGAAGAAAAAATGGGAAAATTACAGTTTTCATCCTTCCAGTTTGCACAAATTTCACATTTGGTCCCCTGTGTTCACAAAAAATACATTTGGTCCCTCATGTTTCATTAATTTAATATTTTTGGTCATTTCCGTCATTTACCGTTAGTTCGTCAGTTAAGGCAGCCGTGGGCACTTGATTCTGTTGTTCCTAATGGAAATTGACCAGGAGGACTAAAAGTGTTGATTTTTTCAAATATGAGGGATCAAATATGTTTTTTGTAAATATGGAGACCAAATATGAAATCAGTACAAATTTGATGGAAAATAATACCACCAATCAATAACTAGTCAAAAGAATAGGGCTGTTTAAAATTCAAAAAAAAACAAGCAAGCAAGTATAATCTTGAGACCTAAGAAAGAAAATAAGCAAGTTATTAGGGGCGGAATTAGAAATATCTAGTTTTGTAGGGGCAACATTGATATTTTTGTTTTAAGTAGATTTTGATTTTCCAGAGAGATGAGATCATGGATGCAAGTAGCTTTCTTTCTGTGTTTGCACTGACAAAGCAGTACAATTTTTTTTTTCTTTTTATATCAAAGAATAATAATAATAATACATAATTATTGGCTCATTTAAGTTGTACGCACGTATTATTATTACTATTTTATTATTTTCCAAATATTATTACAATCGGATAAGCTACTTACAAGACATTGTAATAAGTTATTTTATTCTAATTAAATACTTCAATTGGAAATTGCCATTGCAATTTAATGCAAAATATAAATTGTTACTCAATTTAATGGAATTTGCTAATAGAAGGATGGGGCAATTTGCTAAACACCCCCGAGCACTAATACCATTTTGAATCAGGGCAATCATATTCTCGTATTTTACTAAAAGCTCATTAGGCAGCTCAGTTAGAGAGTTTAGACAAAAAATTGTCGTTTTATATCAAAAATACATTATCGTCATCCAACTTATTCATCCTCAAAACCATATCCATTAATCGAAATGACATTTCTTCCACTATTCTGCCTCTCTCTATTGGTCCTATTCCACCGACCGCCTAATTTTCACCACAACGTCATTGAAAAAAGGTTATTTTCATCAAAAATGTCTATTTTCAGTCGACGTTGTCCGACCAAGCTGTCCATTTTAATATCTAAATCGTCTATTTTCAGTTTAAACCATTCAACTAAGTTGTTTATTTTCAATCTAAGTCGTATATCAATCTAAGTTGTAAGTTGTCACAATGGACTTTTAACAAATTTCAGAATTCGAGCGGACTGCTAGCTATACAAACTATTTTCGGAGGGAGTTTTAGCCAATTTTCTCTTAAAAATTTAAATCCCAACTAAATATTCGAATATACTCCACAACTATAAAACACCTAGTTATTTTCTATTAAATTGCAAACAATATTATTTTTTTTCAATTAACTTTTTTTTATATTAACACTAGTTCCAATTTACTAAATAAATAAATTAGCATAGTGCAAAATGACATGTGCCCCTTGGCTAGGTCATTCTCTTCCAATAATAAATTCAAAACAGAAACAGATTTTGTGGCTAAAAGTTAGGATTTGCAGCAACCTCAGAATGTAAACTAGAAAGAGTCAATAAATAAAATAAATTAAATATATTAAATAAATAAATAAATATATAAAATAAAATAAATAAATAACAAAAAAACCAAGTCCCATGTTGTATAGACTGACAACCTCCCAATCCAAAATCCCAAAACTAATTCATCATGTCAAACAAAAAGCATTAACATAGTTTTCAGACAGCTTCTGCAACTCACCACTTGTCAACAAATTTTTTTCCCAGGTAACAATTATTTAAATTCTTTCAATATTTCCTTTTATTTTATTTTATTTTATTTTTGTTATTTTTAATTTCATATTTTTTGTTTTGTTGTAAAATTTCCCAGATTTCTTGTTGTTTTTGAGCAATTAATTCATGGATTTTATATGTGTTTGATGTATGTATCTATCTTGTATCTAATGATTCATTCTACCCAATAATAAACAAATAAATCTTCTTGAAATTCAAAAATAAAAATTAATTAATTAATTAAATAAATAAATAATCAATTATTTCTTCTAACAGATCATTTCTTGATTCTACCAGCTTTCTTCTATTCAGAGATTTTATTTTTCTGCTAATCAAGAACCATACGAAAAAAAAACGAAAATGGCAGAAGAATCGAAGATGGAGGAACAGCTCAAGAAACCGACAAGAATCATCGTACCGGATCTATCCTTTAACGTGCCGAAAACAAAAACCACGTCGCGTTCGATTCCCTCTTCACCGGTGGGTCTGAGGAAGGCGGCAAGTATCAGAAGCAACTGCCTATGTTCACCGACGACACACGCGGGCTCGTTCAGGTGCAGACACCACAGAAACTCTTCATCGAACCTCATGCGCAGTAGCATGTCCGTTGGATCGAAGCTGTCTGAGCTGGCGGCGGATAAATCCAACGGCACATGCGGCGACACCTTGCGCAAACAGATCACCATTGCAGGGCACCATAACCACGGCTCGTAAAATTTATATATATATATATATATATATATATATATATATATATATAAAGAAAACGGAAAAACAAGAACCTGCATGATTGTGAAGAGAGGGAGTGTTCGGTTAGATATCGTGTGTTTGTTGTGTGGTGCCGTTTGTCGATTTTTCTTTTCTTTTTTTTTTAACTTTTTTTCGGAGTTCAAATGAACATCTCAGTCCTATGAAGTTTGTAATAAAAGTTATTGTGTGTGTTTGTATATAGATTATTTTGATATGATATCTCAGTTTATCGATCTATAATAACTCGAACGAACATTGGATCGGTTACGGATTTTTGCCGGAGTTTATTGCATTCAACACCCCTGTGCTTTCTCTAATTACTAAAAAAAAACCCTAATAATGCTTTTTTTTTTTGCACTTCACCCCCTAAATACTAAGTTTTTAGGGGGCAGTTTGCTAAACGAGATCGAATCAAATACGAGAGTGAACCTCAATGGAGGTTTGATTAGTTTTTTCGAAGATGACAATTTTACTTAGTTTTAGCCAACTCAATTTCCATAACCACATAAAAATCCTACACAAAACTACATGCAGTATATACAAGAATCGCATCCGATTTCACCTCGAAACAAGGATTATATAAGTACGACCTTAGAATATATTCAAAAGAATCCATGCAATTACGTAACGGAAAACAAGAAATAAATTCGAGAACCTGTTGAGTGACGAAGAAGCAGAGCTTTCGGTTGCAGAATTATCCACCTGGAAAGAAAAACTCTTCCTTTTCTGTTTATCTTCTATCTGCTAAAGAATCGTCGTGTCAAAATTGAACTATACCAAAAAAGCGAGTTTCGATTTTCGATCATTCTGGCTAAAAAACACCGTATATTGCATTTTCTTGATGAGTAGATGGACAAAAATTCTGGACACGTAAACAAAATTTCGATCTTGATTCATACATTTCAGACAAGATTAAACCGATGTGAGAAACACTCGATTAACTCACCATAAAAAAAAGGGTACAAGTTAAAGCACGATAATGCTATTTAATCACTTCAAAAGTACATCGACTTTTCAGAAAGCCCTTTTTTTCACAATATATACAGCATAGAGATATATATAGATATATATCATCAGTCGAAAAGCTGACCCGTCGCTCCAAAGAGGACGCATATATTGGCAGCTAAAAATACAACAGGCAATTTTACAGAATACTATGTGCACACTATGCTATACACACCACCCGAAACTCGACTTTCCTCATGGAATATTCCGTTCGATTATACTCACATAGGACAAGAATCTTCTTCTTCTTCAACTTCTTGAGGCAGCATCATCAAATTCCGACAGAGTGGGCATGTCGTGTTCCAATAGTTCAACCACTTCTCGAGGCACGATTTGTGGAAAACATGTCCGCAAGAAAGTTGGTTAATCTCGGATTTCGGTTCGAATTCAGACAGGCAAATCGAGCATTCTTGTTTAGGACATTCGTGCACGAAAATCGAGGCGTAACTCATTGATGGCGTTCGGTTTCTGAACTCCTCCACGTAGGAATCTGATGAGATTCTGCTGTGGCATTCGGACGAGTTTGTGGGCTCCACGGAATATTCCTCCGAAGATGCTATGTGGATGCCCATTACGTGGAGGATGGAGCGGAGAATTTCTTTGACAATCGAGATGGATATTGCTGTGTTTGCAAGAATTACGCAGAGTACCCCTGCGTCTGATGGAGTTGGATAAGACGAAATCGCCATTTCTTTCAAGGACCGAAAACCTAAAGAAAAACGGAGGGTTTCGAGTTAGATAAAGTAATACAAGAAAAACCATAAAGATTGAATTTTTATAGCCAGAAATTATTACATTATCCTAGAATATACTTTTGAAGAGGTGATGATAAGAATAAACAATCAAGCAAAAGAAATCTAATCAATTGTATAACGACACATCAAACACGGGGCTCACTTTAAGATGAAGTGTCACCTAAATAATTGATCAAACCAAACCAAACACTATTACATATTGACAGATATGCTTCAAACGAAACTTCTGGAATCCAACACCCTTTTTTTTCATTTTATTTAAAAAAATAAATAAAATAAAATAACCCTAAGAGACAAGACAACATCAACATGTATCATTATTCTTTTTTGGGCAAATTACGGACGAAAAAATCCCTCTTGTTTGGATAATTACAATCACCGTCCACAATTTTAGTTATTCACCAAGAAAATACTCTTTTTTTCTTATTCAAAAGACTCGAGAAAAGCTCAAAGATCAAATTTTTGCCAATAAATTTGTGGGGAAGTCCTCAATTTTAGTTAGAAAGGACAAAATTCAGAACCATCTATGAATAATTAGATGCAGATATAAGTTAATCAACCATCTTAAGCACTAAGTAATTACAACAAGATCAAGAAACACAACTGCAAATAAGCATAAACTATAAAACTTCATCAAATTAAAAAAAAAAAAGACAATCTTCACACAATATTAACCTCAAAAACTGAAAACCCACCAAGAAAAATGCAAGCAAAAAATAGTATAAGCTACACCACAGAAAACCAACAAGTGCAAAAGAATAATTAGGGCTTCTCTTTTGCAGAAAATACAAGATCAAGAACCCTAATATATACTTACAAGATCAAGAACCCTAATATATACTTACAAAAAGATGAGATTGAGCTAAAATTGATATCTTCTTGGGGGTGTGAAGATTGTGCAGAAGAGGTTAAAATTGCAGAGATAATGGAGAAGAGTTGAGAGTTTGGGGGTGTTTGTTTGTTTGACAATCAATGGCGTACAATTTGTAGTTGTTTCTCTCTCTAAAATTCTGTCAATTTTCTCTCTCTCAAAGTTTCACACTCTGCATTTATATTGCTAGTGAAAGTGACTTCTTTTGAGTCTTGACCCCCACCACAATTATTATCACTTTCCTCCCCTTCCCCATGTTACTTTTGTCACTACTTTAGCTTTTGTTTAATTTTCTTTCTCAATTTTTTTTTTTTTTTTAATTTATATATATAAATATAAAATTAATTTTAAAGTTTTATTACAAAGATTAAAAGAGAATACCTAACTAGAACAATAAATGGCTTTGGCAAGGAGTTAGCAATATTGCAACACATTGAGATTAAACGAGTTGAGTCAACTTGAGTTAATATCGGTTTCTGTCTTTCGAGCGCTGAACGGTGACTGTCGCGCTAATCTTTTATGTTGTTTTGTAGTTCAGCGAACGATTTTCTACTCTTTTACTACTTCGGACATGTGAATGATGTTTTTACTATTAATTTGAGTGGATTTGAAGCATTTTTTATTTTTTTTTGGCCATGTGTAAATTCCATGTGTTTTGCCTAGAAACATGGTTAGACATTTGGTATGTAACATGCATCTTTAATATAGTTAAACATTTGATTGTACTAATTAAAAGCTTATGTAATATATTAACCATCTATTAATTTAATTACCCAACAACCAAATCCTTTCCAAGATTTGGGTATCAAAGAAAATATTTATTAATGATAGACAAGATCATGTCTTTGATATTCTACATGTTGGTAACTTTGTTACTAAGTTGTCCATAAATTTTAAGGTACATAATATAGTAATATGGGTTGGGTTGGCCTTTAGCCAATTGTGGTAAGGTTTATTTGTTTGATGTTATGCTCGGTGAATGTTATTAGTTAAAATTACCCTATCTAATTTATGCAATTACACACATGTGTGTGGTTGTTGATACGTGTAAAATTTATGTATAAATAGTCGTAAGTGTACAACAATATCATATTCTGCAGAATAGTGAATTTCAGATATCGGTCCACATGAACCTAAAACCTGATGTTGAGCAATGTTATCATATTATACTAATATTATCTATTCGATTGTAATTCGAATGGAGTTGTGATTAACCCTAATAACGGGAAACAAATAAATATCGTAAACATATAGATACATATAATCATAAATGTAACAATGAGAGGTCTAACGGGAATGCTTCGATTTGTCAAATGATTCTAGGGCAAAATCCACACAATGTGCTATCTTAGACGATCCACAACCTGATATTTAAATTCAAATTCGATGTCTCCATTCAGAACATGTTATTAATATAGTGTTTAGGTCAAGCCCTAAGGGCTATATATACGAGGTGTATCACGTCCATGTTCCCACAATCACAAACTATATTTTCATAACTTCAAACTAAAAATCTCCTCTCGTTCAATCCTATTTAATATCAATCTGGCAGGTCATCAATGAACTAGAAACATTTAAAAACATAAACGAAATCGAAATAATGCAAATATATAACAAATCTGGAAATCAAAATTAGTATATACAAGGTTTCATTTTCCTAAAAGAAAATCTATTTTATTCGATACAAATATATCTTCAAAAAGGAAGAATATGAGAAATTATATACTATTCGTAAAGAAAAAGCTTAAGCAAAACCCGAGTCAAAACTTTCCCCGAAAAACTATCGAAAACCATAGAAAAGTCGAAGAAGATTGTTCAACTGAATAAGCCATTTAAGAAAACAAGTTCATGATTGATGTTGATTTGTTACATTTAGAGTTTAATTAGTAATACATTTTAATGTATTACTAATTGCTTTTAATGTACTTGATTGATATATCTAATCGTTTGATTGAAAAATAAAATTATTGGTACATAAAATAATAATTTATGCCCATGTTTAAATGTTCATATGGGTCAATAATGATGTTTTTTAGGTATGTGTTTTTAGTTGTAACCAATAACCATCATCCATAGACCATAAGGCCATTTCTTAAAAAAAATTAAAAAAAAAAAAAAAAAACAAAAAAAAAACAAATTAATAATATAGTAATACTAATATCTAACTCAATACCACGAACCCTAAACTCTTCATTATTATTTTTTTTATATGCAAGTTGAATGTATGTATAGCAATATGAGATTACATACACAGATGCACTTATACCTCTACAAATTAATACAATCACAATTAGTAAAATATTATTTATTTAGCAGAATATTAAATTATTAAACTAATTATTTAATATAATTTATTCTAAATTTGGGACCTGAAGAAATTATTATTACCGAAATTATTAGTAAGAAAAACTTAATTCGGCTTTAATTAATTAACTGTTAATTTACAATCACCCTTGAGGTATGGTCAATTTACG